TTTTTTTAAAAAACTATCCCAACCACCCTTTTATTTTTTTTTTTTTTTTTTTTTATTATATTTTATTTTCCCCCCATTTTTTTTTTTTTTTTTTTTTTTTTTTTTTTTTTTTTATTTTTTTTTTTTTTTTTTTTTTTTTTTTTTTTTTTTTTTTTTTTATTTTTTTTTTTTTTAAAAAAAAAAATATAAAAATTTTATTAAAAAAAAAAAAATAATTTTTTTTTTTTTTTTTTTTTTTTTTTTTTTTTTTTTTTTTTTTTATTAACCCTCTTTTTTTTTTTTTTATTTAATTTTTTTTTTTTTTTTTAAAAAATAAATTTTTTTATATATTATATTTTTTTTTTTTTTTTTATATTATTAAAATATATTTTTTTCTTTTTTTTTTTAAAAAAACCAAAAATATTTTTTTTAAAAAAGGGGGGGTTTGTTGAAAAAAAAAAAAAAATATCTTCTTTTTTTTTTTTAAAATTTTATATTTTTTTTTTTTTTTTTTAAATAAAAAAAAAAAAACCCCCCCCCCTCTTTTTTTTTTTTTTTAAAAAAAAAAAAAAAAAAAAAAAAATATTTTTTTTTTTTTATATTTAATTCCCCCTTTTTTTTTCCCTTCCCCCCCCAAATTTTAAAAATTTTTTTTTTTTATTTTTTTTTTTTCCTCCCATTTAAAATTCCTTTTTTTTTGGGGTCTTTTAAAATTCCCCCCCCCCAACTTTGCCTCGGGTTTTTGGGGTTTCTTTTACATCGGTTGTGAGTCTAGTAAGGACATTGGGGTTCTGTCGTCCTCCATTCGGTGCACGTGTTAAGCCACTTGAGCTTGTTGCATTTATGAATTAGATGTTGGCATCGTCAAGGATATAATAAAGTTCTTCATTGAAGCGAATACGCCAAACACAGTCGTAATTTTACAGGTATAAAATCTGGCACTACACTGGTGTTCTTATGCACAAACGCAACTGTGCGGACAAAGAGAATCTGCTGTCAATATGTTGGCGTCCCGGTACATATCAAAAGAGTGATCTCTCAAAAACTATACCCAAGAGTATAGAAGATACCACTCCTAAAGCTGTAGGAGCATATCGGCCTCCTGGAGCGAGGAACAAACCATCTACTTTTACATTACATGAACACGAAAAACCGCATAAGCCTGGACAAAATATTGAAGGTATACACATAAATATATTAAGTAAATAAAGATTTTTTAAGTAAAGATGTTTTTGGACTCACTTGCTTTAATTGATGCTATTCTCTAAAGTGCTGCATAATGTAAAATTTAAATAACGAACTTTACCATTCAATGATAAGTTACAAATAACTAAGGTTCAATTAGTTGTTAGTTTAAACATTTAACCAAAAGCCAACTGGATTTACTGGCTACCAGTATTTCTTAAAATTAGGATTTCCTTATCCCGAATAATATAATATTTTTTAGTTTATTTGGTTAGTGTGTGTTAATTACAATATTGTTATTAAATATGGCATTAATTTATATTTAAATAAACGGTCTTAAGCAATACTTAACGTTTTGAGTGCGTTTCAGTAATAGTTTATTTATATTTCCCAGCGGCGCCATCTAAACAGGCAATAAAACAAAAGGAAAAACGCGAAGCCCGCAAAGCGCGTAAAGCCGAAGAAAAGGGTGATCAAGGAGATACGGCACCTGCTGTTTCTGCGCCGCGGCAAGCATTTATTTCTACTGGGGACCCAGAAAAGGACAAGAAAATCAAGAATTTAAATAAGGTATCCGTCTCGAAGGACCATAAGTCTTAAGATTTTCATAATAACATACAGTTACATTTCAAATTAAGTATTGGCAATGCGATAATATCGGCATGGTTTCAGATAATTTATTCATGCAATTATAGGCCGTTCAAGTATGTCGTAAACACTATAGGAGGGCGGGTTAATTTTGGTTGTTACGTCTTTTTTTACACATTGTCTATGCTTGAAAACGAAATGCATTTTCGAGGATTCCTATAAAAAATAAAATTAATACGTAAATGTACTATGATTTTTTGAGAGCTTTGCTTACTTTTTCTGACAAGAGAGGGGGGGGGGGATAAATTGCAGTAAATCTGCTCACGTAATACTTGAACGGCCCCTTATATGTTAATAACAATTTCAGCTAGTTCAATAAGTTAATAATATTGATTATCTGTAATTAATTAGGAATTAAACTTAAACTTTTCTGTTCTATACATATTTTAAAACTAGCACAACAGCATCTATGCGCTTTTTTCTATAAAAGGTGCGTGTACTTATGTACGCGCGTAAGAAGTTATACTTCTTTGGCATTATTAAAAATAGTTTTTGATTGCATGCAAATAATTAATTACAATTAAATAATCAAAGACTGGAAAAGGAGTCATTATAGTCAATAAAGTTCAGTTTACATTTGAAAAATTAAATAAATAAATATTTATTATTATTCTCTTACATTAAGTGTAAGGGGGCGTCCATAAAACGGGTTTAAGGGGGAGGGGTCGAGTCAAATCCATAATCTACGTTGGAGAGAGGGGGTCTCGGCAAATCACGCAATTTTTTTCTGATTAAAAAAAAACTTAGGGATACGGTTGACCCGGCCATCTCTGCAACTTCCCGCTAACTCCATACCTACGCCAAAATTTCTTTTTTTGTTTTAGTCGTAAATAAAAGCACGAAGCCATTTTTTTCTTTTTCAATAACAATTCACGCGTTTCGTAAGAACCCACATTTTGAAAAATCTCCGTGAGATTGGGGTATGGGGGAGGGGGTTGAATAAAATCTCACGACTCTCACCGGGGGGGGGGGTACAGAAAATTTAAAAAACCCTCCGTAATTTTGGCGCCCCTAACATAAATTCTATTATTATTCGAATGTTGTTTTTAAATGATGTCCAATGCCGTAGCATCTTCCGTGGGCAACTTCATTCTGTTAATTTTGTGTCACGGTGCGCGCGCATCGTAAAATTTCACTCTCATCAATTTTTCATAACGCGCCTAAAGAAGTATAACTTCAAAAATATAATTTATCTCTAACGTTTAGATTTCACCTATTGTTAGTGTTACAGCAACCTTGGCAAGATTTATAAATATGGTAATCTTTCAATCGTTCTGATACGTGTCAAATACGTTGATAGAAAACCTAAAACCTTGTATATGTTATCGAGAATCTAATTTTATATTTATTTCAGAAATTAAGTGACATTGACAAACTGAAACAGCAGAAGGCAGCTGGAAAACCGCTGGAACTGAATCAGTTGGCTAAAATTGAAAACGAAGCTGCTCTGTTAAAAGAATTGGAACAACTGAAATTATGATTTGTTACTAAATGTTTTTAGTACAGTATTTGTAACAAAAACCCAGTCAATATCGATAAGTAGCATTTCAAATAAAATAGAACAAATTAAAAATCTATCATTTATATACAAAACACAACTACAAAATAATGTATCTGAATTTAATAAAAAAGCGTTGTATGTGTAAAAACATACAAGATTCCTTTGTTTTGCGATTATCTGTGAAAATATGTGTCATACACGACTATTAATATCCATTTTACATAAACAGTTGGTTCGTCATTTTTAATTTGGGGTCGTTGACCCCAAAAGGTCATGAACTCAAGATGACCTATCAGCTGTTAGCAATATAATTCATCTTGCTTTGAGTTATTTTAACCAATTCCATTTTTAGGGTGTATTTCTTAAGCGGTCTCAGCTAACAGGTACGGGTTTTTGCTACATGCTGTATATATTACATTAAAATGAAAAATAATTTAAAGATGTTATCCTTATATAGAACTTGGGTTTACTTTAGTATAACATAGTTTTGTAATATCAAAATAAGATGTTTTTTGCTTCAGTCTGACATAATCTATATTTTTCTACTGTTAAGTAAATGCTAGTTATGTATTAAAATATATAATATTGTTTAAATAAAGGAAAGTATGTATGTTTGTTTTTAATTTAAACCTTTTACCGATATAACACGAAGTGTTAATTGAAATCCCTATTACCAGCTGAAAATAATCACATTTGTATATAATAAATATGTTTTTTATAAATTTATACCATATGGTTATGTATAAATAACCACTAACAACAATAGTTGTTTCATTGCTAATTTTTAACTATAAGCTAAGATTTAAATTAACTTCTGTACCTGACATATCGATTTTAATGATAACAAATTTCGAAAAATTTGTGCGCACATAGATATAAAAATCTATTTTTGTGACAATCGCACACCGAATTACCAGACAGACGGTAACATTACTAGTTAAATAAAACAAGCAAACTACACTCATAATTAATGTGAAGATTATTAACATAAAACCTGGGGGCCTCATAGCCTAGCGGTCTTAAGTGGCAGCTAGGTGAGGGGTACCGGGTTCGAGGGCAAGATTTAATTTAAATTTGTTCTCGGCCTTTGGGAGGGTTGTGCGGTACCGGGCGAGTGCTTTAACCGTACATGGAGGATACGGTCGAATTTCTAAAGAACAAGCACGAATTATAAAAAAAAAATTCTATACTTGACGCTGGCTAATGCACAAACCGTGCCAGAGCCATTAAAAAAAAAATAATAAAACCTAATTATCCAAATTAATTTTATCAAGCGAAAAAAATGTTATCTTAATTATTATCAAACACCTTTTTTGAAAAGTTATCTCCTATAATTCTTTATCCACAACCAAAATATAAACAAAGAGTTTATATTTTTATTATGGCTGACCGATTAATTCCTGATACATTAAGAATATGACAGTATTTGATTACTGTACCGAATATTCTAACCATACGTAGGTACTTCAATATTCATTATAAATCTACCCACATTTTTTTCACCTCGCCATTTATATCGGATATGATACGTTGTCGGTTAAGGAGAGTGCAACAAAATCTTCGATGCAGGTCATTTGCGCCAGACCCTTCGGAAGTTTTTATTTACACACGATAAGATATCAATATTGATACGAGCTAGTCGCAACTCGTGGTTGAGTGCAAGTACGCGTTATTTCTAGTGCTTATAATGGAAGAGGATTCTGACGATTGCGGTGTCTCCCGACCTAAGTTTACGATAGGTGATATGGGTTCAAATGATAGTATAGTTTTTGATGAGAAGCTAATGAAAACATCCACTCATGCTGAGGAACTGGCTGCCACGTGGGGTGGAAGGTGTTCGCTACCTGATTCGAGTAGGTTAAGACGAGTTCACTCGTGGTCTGGGAAACCACCTGACGATTCTGCGTCGAAGATACGGATTTTAAGAGAAAGGTTAGTTAACACTTGAAGATTTGTAATACCTTGGTTTTTATTTAAAATGGTTTAAACGCAACCAAAGCATTCATATTAAATGGTTTTTAAAGTTTTTAAATAATATATATTGTTATTTACTTTTGTCAAATTTATTTACTCCTCTGTGGGCAAATTATAATCAAAGAAAACTTGTTAGATTTTGTAACATATATATTACTTGTTTTTTTTATATACAAGCCAAGTTTTAATAGCAACTAAGTAACTAATTGGAAATGAATAGAAGAGATTCTATACATAAATACAGTATAACCTTGATAAGTCAAAAACATCAAAATTTTAAAAACCCTGTGTTAGTCGAAATAAGACGTAAATATGGTATATGTAACGGCTTACAGAACAGAGAACTATAGAGTTCGAAAAAAGTAAGTTATTAAGGATTTTCTGTTTTAATTTGTTGCACATTTCACAAAATTAGTAAGAAATCCTAACCTCTATAAGTCGAATTAAAATCCGCCTCAGTCAAAATCCTCAATAAGTCGTAAATTTTTTGGCGTCTCGCTTGAAGTTTGATTTATGGAGGTTCTACTGTATATGTGTAGCATAAACAAATCAACCTTGTCATTGTATCCATAAACCGCATGATATTAAAGCCTTTAACTCTGTAATATCATTACTTCAAGGATATTTTATATTAATTTATATAATGTGATATATAATTTGCTTGCCGAACCTACTTTGAATTGGACCTAGTTTAATGTTGACAATTCCGGAACAAATTGGTGTAACACATTTACCATTCCTATGACAATTGTTCTGAGTTGCTTTGTGTATAAATAGTTTAACATTATTGTATATTTAGTGGAATCTCGATAATTTGAATGTCAAATTGTAATTGGCAATGGCAAAAAAATTAAAAAAAAGTCTTCGACTTAACAAGAACATCGTGATACGTATGATTTAACTGCTGAAATTTCGACTTACAGAGATGCGATTTCTAATATTGATTTCATAAAACTCAACTTAAGTTTTGTAGTATATATTATTTATGAATGTATTCATTCATTGTACGTGTACAAGACAAAACCCATATATTAGAAGCCCCGAATCCGAACATTCATTTTGGATTTTATTGTACTAGTTACATCATTTTGTACGAGTTACAAACTCTAAATAATTCGAGATACCGCGTATTAAGAGATTCCGCGGAGGGGATGGCAATTTTTTTTCGACTTAACGAGGTTCGAGTTATCGATATTCCACTGTATATTATACTTTAAAGCGTTAAAATTCGATAAAGCGTATTTTCTTTAACATGTTACCATATTTATCACGATACAATTTCTTGCAGATTAGTGCGCACCCAAACCAAAGTAAGGCCGGGTGCGATTCGTAATTTTACTAGATCTCAACGGCTTACACTTTTCTCTTTAGCAATAGTTGACTTCATGAGTTTCTGTTCTATGAGTATTATGGCACCGTTCTTCCCAAGAGAAGCGACGGTCAAGGGCCTATCGAATACAATGTGCGGAATTGTATTCAGTTTCTACGCAGTTATTATGTTTCTCACTTCGCCGTTTTTTGGGAAATATGTAAGTTTTTTATGAGCTTAAATTAACACCATGTTGAAAACACCCTACTACTAAGAATTAATTAGGTACATATAATGCCTTTAAACAATAGTAACTCGGCTTCGAAATTTAATGCTAGATTAGTAAACGACGTATTTGAGGAAGTATTCAGGACTTATTTATGGACTGTTCCGTTTCTATTGTAAATATTTTACTCATTAACAAATGGATACTACTACTATTCTTAATTAATGACTTTGTGTGTAACGGTTAAATAGTTATGCAAATCAGTTCCAGTTCGAATACATTTTGAAAAATCTGTGTATAATAATTAATAGTATTTCTGATTAGAATATGAATGAATCAACGAACAAAAGCATGACAGTATACATTAACATTGTTTAATGGAATCTTCCTAAAAGTATTATTAGATTATATTATTACGCATTACTTAAGTGTACATAAATTTAATGTTGATAGAGTATTGACATTAACTTTAGTATATCGACATTATCGTATTGGCATAGTCTGTAAGGATAATGTATGTATTTTTGTAGTTAATAAATAAATAAATAGTAGTCACCGTTTCGATAAGAACCGTAGAATGAGAAAGTAATTTTAAATTTTCTACATTGTCTACCATTTTAGTAGCTATATACCAACATATGGAACATTTTGCATTGATACCCCATAGAGACTGTTCTCTTTACCGGAATGAAAACAATTTTATAGGGTATTCCGTGCAATTTTTTAAATTGCCGGTTGCCGGTTGAAGAAATAAATAAAGAGTAAAGAGTAAAATTTTGTATTTTTAACACTATCGATTCTAAAGACTTTTTGCAATAGAATGCTACATTTATTATCAAAATATTTTATAAAATTCCCAGCCGTCGCAAGCTGGAACAGGCCGCTACCAAATTATATATCTTCTTATGTATATTATGCTATAACTGTGTTTCATATTCTTTCAGTTGCCAACAATTGGTGTAAAATTTATGTTCACCGCTGGTTTGTTTATGGCCGGTGCGTGTAATGTTTTGTTTGGGTAAGGTTCTATTTATTACTAAAAGTTTAACATTAATTTAAAAATAAATTTTCACATGAATCCCTGTAACATAATCTCCTAAACATTAACAATGCTTTATGATAGTTCTAGTAAGCATCTTTTAGCCTGCATAGAACACAGTCCCTAAGCGACTACTGTCTTTTTTCTGATAGATCAAACTTATAAACTAGCTGATCCGGCAAAAGTTGTTTTGCCATGTATATTATTTCTAGGAAACATTTTTTAGTTCAATAAAAATAACTATCTACTATAATAAAAGTAGGGATTGATCGTAGAGGGGTGAAAATTAAGGGTTGTATGTACATATTTTTGTATCATAAAAAAATAAAAACAAAAATTTTGTCTAATCAATAAAAAGAAATTAGGAGTGGACCACCATAACATTTAGGGGGATCAAAAATAGATGTTAGCCGATTTGCAGACCTAACCAATATACACAAAAAATTCCGCGAAAATCGGTCGAGCCATTTCGGAGGAGTTTAATTACAAACACCGTGACACGAGAATTTTATATATTAGATATGCCTTACTATTTTATTAATACAATAAATCTTAAGGCGTCAGCTGCAAACTACATACTTTTCATTTGATCAAGAATTGATTTAACAAATATATTCACAGAACTCTATCTCTCATAGAAGATACGACCACATTCCTCGTACTATGTTTCGTAGTTCGTGGCTTGGAGGCTTTAGGGGCGAGTGCGTACTCCACAGCCAGCTATGTTTACGTGGTAAATGTATTCCCGGACACGATTGGCTCTGTTTTGGGAATTTTGGAGACTTTTGTGGGCCTCGGTATGTCCGTCGGTCCAGCGATTGGAGGATTGCTGTATTCGGTATGAATTACTTGTGTATGTGTTAAGTACGATTTTTGGCACTTCTGTGAAAATTTTAAGGCAATTTCCCCCTTTTGTTTATCTTTACTAACACCATTGATTGTTTTACTTGGTGAGACTTTCATCTGTTTTTTTTTTGTTTTTTTTTATTGGCAAGTATTTTTATTGGTCTCATCTCAATGAATATCCTTATCGTAATAGCAATTGTTGAATGTTCTTACATTTCTATGTATGTGTAAAAAAAGTGTATGTATAAAATATATAAAAATCGACGGAATCAGTTAATTTTTTTACAGAAGAAGAGTAAAGATAAAAAACATTCAGATTAAGAGATGTTTCAGATAGATCGGCGGTTTTGGTTTACCATTTTACAGTCTTGGAATCGTGATGGTATTCACTGTGCCAATTAACATGTTTCTACTGCCCGACTATGAAGGTACGTTTTTCCAATATAAACCATTTTAAAATTTGCTTAGGTTTCTTCAAATATACACGGGAATATACTTGTTATTTTTAAGACGATTTTTCTAAGACTTCTAAGTATTTTTACAAAAGCCGAAAGCTGTCTAATGTTGGGTAAAATTATGTATAAAATATGTAAAATAAATAATGTTACCACTCATCAGACCTCACAAGATTTAGCTGCTGCTATAACTTGTGATGAGGACGGTGTAATGGTTACTTACAAACATTTTGTAAAGCTTGGCGATTAAAAAGAATGACGGAATCCCTATTGCCAGTTCTTCTCTTCCGTTCTATGCCTTTGATTTGAGTAACAGTAACTGTAAATTTAGAAGCATTTTTATAAGTGCATATTAAGATGTCTACATAAATAAATAACAAGATGGAAAGAGCCAGGTAAAAGAAAGAGAGGTCTGAGGGTGGACTGACGAGCTTAAAGAAGTTGCTGGGGTAGATAGGGAGAAAAATGCTCAAGATAGAGAGAGATGTAGCCTATTGGAGGAGGCCTATAATAATAGCAATAATTTTCTTCGAGCACTTTAGAGGGACGTTTCCCTCTGCGAATTGTATTTTTCTTGTCCCTTTTAATGGTCACTTCCAATCGAAACTATAAAAATTTCCTCTCATCATTTTTCACTAACGCGCCAAAAAAAATATAACATCAAAAATGTTGTATATAATTTGAAGAGTGTGTATCTTTTGTAAGTATGGGTGAATGTTTAAAGAATAAATGAAGCTTAATAACAATAATAACTTCAATAACGATTTTTTTTATTTTGATCAATTTACAGACCAGGACACATCGCATTTTCGTAAAGCATTGAAACCATGTTAATCGCACAGGCTCACGAGGCCCACATAAAACTAATATCTCTCTGTACACTTTCAGAACATGCAACTGGTTCAAAACCGGCATCAATATGGAAACTATTCAAAATCCCATCGATTATAATAACTGGACTAGTGATAGTAATCATGTCGAATACTTGGGCATTCCTTGACCCTACATTGGAACCTCATTTGCGACAGTTTTCCTTATCTACAAAGCAAATTGGACTTATTTTTCTATTACTTTCGAGTTTGTATGGCATATTCAGTCCTATTTGGGGTTGGGTTGCTGATCGGTGAGTAACTCAAAACTTATAATAAATAGTATTTGTATTATATATGGTCTTTGGGTGAACGTATTAGAAGGTAGAACCATGCGCCTGCTTAGTTTACTCTAGTTTAGTAATCATATTTTTTAGTAATTGTCATTAAACTAAGAAATATTAATTAAAATATAATATTATTTAATATTTTAAATTATTAATAACTATATATTTTGATTATTATTATGATATTAAGGTTAAGAATATTGTAAATACAATTAAATTTATCAGTAATATAAAAGAATTAAAATATTTAAAATAAATTCGTACGTATTACATACGTAAAATATCATTGTAATGGAAGCAATAATGGGTGATATAATCAACATTTTTAATTCCTGGTCTCAATATAAGTTCGTCGAGTCTCTAATAGAGACTCGACAAACTTATGCCATTGAAAGTCATACGTGTGGGCAGAAGAATTTAATATTAAAAGAAAAATATAAAAATTGTTTTTCCTTAATATTTAAATGTTTGTATTTACAGCGTACATAACCATTGGTGCATGATGGTATGGGGCCTCTTCTTATCATCTATAGGACTACTTTTACTCGGCCCTTGTCCCTACATACCTGGTCTACCACAGTAAGTAACCTAAAACTACCAGTGCCGGTACTCTGTAACTTCCAATAGCGATACAGTTACCGACGTTTTTGAATGCATGTTACTCGTAGTTATCTCAGTATTCGTAGCTCCGATACCGCGAGTTCGCACGGTACAAAATCTCAAAAGGATCTGTCGGTATCAAATACTAATTAAAATTATCAGCAAACACACTTCCCGATTCATACAATTACTCTCTGTATTTTTTAATCTAAAGCACTAAATATCTATCCTTATCAACAGTTAGTAAGCAATTTATTTTATAATTGTGTGTTCTTAAAGCTTTGTTTTGGTAAAAGCAATTTATAATGTTTCTAAACAAGTTGTAATTTATAATTCGCGGGACTTTATAATTCAGAGTTTATCGACCCCGAAATTTCAATTTACATTTACCAACAACTTGAGGTGATGATATACTCTGCTCTGTGTTACGAAATAATTAGACCACTATATTCGGAGTATTTGCTTAACCCCGCTAGTTTACTTAGAGAACGAAATAGAAACTAATTTTGAGTTTAAATAGTGTGTATAATGTTGATGGAATTAATTGACATTAAGATCTTTTAAATTATCTTACTAAAGTTACTAAAAATCTATTATTTTCAGAGATCTATGGCTAGATCTAGTGGCATTGTCTATTTTGGGAATGTCAGTTGCCTTGACATTATTACCGACGTTTCAAGGAGTATTAACTAGTTCAATGTAAGTGTGAAATAGGAATCATTTTATTAACCGCAAGCGTTCATTAAACCGCTGCACCGTAATGTTAAAAAGTCTTGAATAATATTCCGAACCTCTCAATGCTCTGGACACTTGTGCGTATGCTGTATTATTAAAATAAATCAGAACAAAGAATTGTAAAAATATTAAGAAAAACTTCAGTTAATTATTATCGGAATTTTATTTATAGTATTAATTTAAAAATGTTAATGTATGGTACATTGTCTCGTGTGTATAATTTTGACATAATTGTCCTTGCCTCACCATAACCACTACTTTTACTAACTAATACCAAAGAAAAAAAAACATTAGGTATACAACTTATGAACATCAAAAAAATGCTTCTAAATTGTCACTTACTGCCATTTCTCAAATCAAGAGCACCATGCTCCTCATCAGTTTTAAATACAGTTGATTATTGTAATTAAATTAAAAAAAATAGTTTTGGGAAAATTTGATGTTTACGAGTTAACCTACGAAGAATTATTTAGTTACGAAGGTGGCTGCCCAGAAGCGATCGCAACTTACAGCGCCGTGGCTGGAGTCTGGTCCTGCTGTTACTCCCTTGGCGAGGTCCTAGGTCCAGCTGTAGGTGGAGCTTTGGCTGAAAGATATGGCTTCCCGTTCTGTGCAACACTCTGTGCTGTTGCCTGTTTTGTTATGGTAATAGTTATTTAATTCTAATCGATTTAGGTTCCAATCCCGGGAAAAACTTTTGAAGTGTGATATGTATATAGGTGTTCCAAGCGTACCATAAGCCTGAGTTAGTTGAATGTTTTGTCCGGTTTATTTTCAAGAAGGTACAGACGAACATTGTGTGTTACATAAAAAGATATCATAACTATTATAATTTGAAAAGTGTAGTGTACTAGGTGTTTTATTTAATTAACATTACTAAGTAATACAGCTATTACTATTATACAAAATTTAATGAATATGTTACTACATTATCGTTACGAAATTATGTAATCATGAAGTTAATATTAAGTTTATGAATAATAAAAGCAATAAATTAATACATATAATATACACTCTTTACATTCTAAATTCAAAAAACTACATTTGTTTTAACACGCTTTTTAATTTCTAAATGTTTTGAGTGTTATTGGTAAAATATTGATAAATTACAGGGCATCATTACCCTCGCGTTCTTCTCATTGCGGGAGTCTTCAAAATGGATAGATGACTCCATATCAGATTCCATACCATACACAGATTCTACATGGAATAGTAATTTCTATAGAACGCAGAGCGCTCCAGCAAGCCAAATGGCCGAACATACTCCACTCATAAGCAATGCTTGCACCGGAAATGGTAGGTTTGAATTTGGAATTATTTTATGTCATTTCAATAATGTCTTACGGGAGTGCCAAGCGTTTAAATGAATTATAATATATAACGCCATTGCGAAATATCGGAATATTTCTTACATACAAACACTACAAAATAAATTAATAAAAGCACTATTTAGATACAACTTAATAACACAGATTATAAAATCTACCAAGAAACCAAAATTATGACGATTAAACAACTATATGTTATAGATACAGGTGATCTTAATTAAAGAACAATTAAATATCTCTCTACACGCAATACTCGTCAAGCGAGTTTGCTTATCTAACTGAAGCCGCGTACAAATTATTTGAAGAAGTCTATTAAGCATGAGGGTGTGCAATTATTTAATCAACTATCGTCTAAAATTCGTAATATTGGCGCGCTCAACCAATTCAAAAGCATTAAAGAGACATATCAGAATGTGCCTAGTATACTAAAATTGGGACGGCTGATGGCGACGTGTATCGCGTTCGTATATACATATTAAATTTCTCATGTAAATATAAATACATTTTTTTGTAATGAGAAATAAAGTTCTGTAAGTTATTTGAGGTAAAGAAAAATAACTTTTTTTTTAGTTTTTAATTTGGAGGAACGTTCTTTTTTAAGCCTTTTGTAGATATTTTAAGAAAATAATTATTAAGTAGATATATTTTTCTCCTAAGTGTCGGTTTCCTCTGTCAATTTTGGCCTGAGTAATATAATTGAATATAATTTCAGGTCCTCACAAATATGGAACTACATCGCAAAAAATTTGCCTGTTGCATAATAAAAGTAGAAAAAGTGGGTCAGCGAGCGTAGCCGAAATGTTAGAATATGTACTCAAATTTCAGTTCTTAACAAATATTTATGTAAAAATATGGAAGTTTAAAAATAGACGTAGCAACGGGACAGTGAATGAAGAGCTGTATCAAAACTATTTAGATGAAAACACAACAGATAATAAGAACGATGAATTCGTCAATACTGAGAATGGAGATGACAGTTGTGACAATAAATATTGTAACTTCATAGATAAGGCAATCTTTGGGCCAACAGTAAATAATAACAATGTAATAGTAAAACCTAATAACACTGGTATTGTAACAAAGTCAATTAATAACGTCGAGAGACGATCAACAAATGAAATCATTAGGCATAATTTGCAAAAAGTACTTTTTTATGAGCAAAACAGTCCATGTACTTCCACAGAAGATATTTTCGTAAGTTTAACAGTTTTGTTTATTTAAAATAATTGTATTATTCAAAAGAATATGTATAGCTTTGTTGATGTACTGTTTGTGCCACTGGCGTCTAAAAAATATGTCCATTAAGAAACATTAAAAAAAGAAATCTAGGAATTAATTGTAAATTGTCATTACTTGTTCTACTAATTGATTGGCAAATGTTAGCAGAACGCCGGCGAATTGCGTGCAGTATAATTTTAAGAGGCGCAAAAATTTGTTCATAATATAGTTTCTGCCTTAAGTTTTTAGTGATATAAAAATATAAGAATTACTTAGATAATATTTTTTTATTTTGTAGGATGGTTGCGAGTGCAAAGACGATATAACCTATGTGAGAGGTACCGTCACAGTTTCTTCAACAGGAGCCTGTGAAGTATAATACAAATCCTAAATGTATGCAATTACTTTTTTTTGGTTATAAGATTTTCCTACAAAATCAACAAAATTTTCCCCTGGCGTTTGTTGCGAGCAAAATATTTTCCAACATTCCACAATATACCAAGGAGTTATAAATATTTGGAGTCACGATCCTCCCCTGCATGAGGAGTGAGATGGGTATAGTTGAAAGGAATATTTAGATAAATTCATCCCCTATACCTATCTCTCTTTTGCAAACTTCGGGAGTATTAAAAATCCATTCAATTGTTTTTTTTTCTCTGCATACACAGTCTGTGGAACACCTGCGCTCACTAAATAGTATTAGTTTTAATCTAGAATAGGCAAAAGTTAAATGTTTGTGTATTAATTTACGAACTTTGTCATAATTAATGAGGAAATATAAATCAGCACTATTCCGTCTAGTTATCTAGGTTTCAAATATTAGATTTTTTTAAATAAATTTTGATGCAAACGATTGTTGAAATTCGCATTTCGTAGTAATTTATAAACTCATGGATAGATAGAAAAGAAATTAATAGAAATTAAGATCCAATAGTTTTTCTAAATTTTGCAATCAAATCATGTTACACAAATTATAACACTATCTAAAAATAACTTTTAATGAACGAATGAATATTTCCCAACCAATGTCTTAATGCCGATTTCCTCACAGAGATTTGTAAAACCTCCTTCAATGTCATGGCACGCTAGTAGAAACGACCTCCTGTGACGTTTCCTGATGTTTCCACGACAACTTTGATACCTTTGAAAATTACTGAAAATGCTTTCAGCATCGGGGTTTTATGAAAAATTCTGCTTTAAACGAACCATCATGTCAAAGGAAATTTTCAGTACCTTGCTACGAACTACGTCACGCTCGTAAACGCTACGCCGCTACGAAAAATGGACGTCATGTTACAAGGGTACTATAAAATGCTTGAGATGTGAAATCAGTGGAGAAAATTCGAATTTTCCGACCCCTGAGTGCCAAGTGCCGTATAAGACTATATCAAATGTAATAAAAATTAAGTTTTTTTTAAGTAATATTATTAATGTAGAAATTGTGTAAGACTATTAAAAGTATTAAAACAAGTTTAATTCTCATTATTTTTAAACATAAATCTCTATGCAAATATAACAAGGGTGGTGTAGAAGTGGTTGGGGGAAATAACCCCTCGCCCTCCGAACATCGAGTACCGTTAGATATCGTTGTCCCCTTCAAATGTTAGAACTCTGCTATTACTATGGACTCCTAGTAACCTCTCTAGCAATGTGTGGTGAGAAAATCGTTTGGGTGTAGGGTTGTCTCGATGTAATTTGACACTTATTTTGCACTCAACAAACTTTAATGATATTAATGAGGTTATAAAATAATTAAACATAGATAAAAAAGTATATTCACAGCTTACTGCTGCTTGTCTAACTGAAATTTAAAATATTCATAAGTACCTAATTCAAACAAAGAGTTGCTTTATACATACAAACAAATCATTCATGCCAAGGTCGACTTTCCTATCAAATTTCAATGTGGTCTGCATTATCTACGTACGTAAATATAATTTAATACTCTAACAGACTCAATCGATCCCGATTAACTGATCATCCACGTTCTAGTTTAATGATACTGTTGTTACTAACAAGTCAATACCGTTCATTCCATGACATACATTTGCAGTTAGTGCTCCATTCAAAATGAATATACGTTTTCTGTATATAATATTCATATGTTTCTGTACGGTGTATGCTAATGAAGAAAAGAAGAAATGTGAAGAAGTCACAGTGCACGATAAACCACACAGAAAACATGTTTTAAGTATGGGTCTAAATCGGCCATACCAACTGGCTTTTGACAAGCATCACAATAAATTATTCTTTAGTCACAACGTCGGGAGTGACGAAGAAGATGCTTTTGAAATTGCATACATTGAAAAAGATCAAATGATTCCCAAAGTTGTGAGTTCAGTGAAAAACGGATTCGCAATTGCAATTGATAATAAAGATGGAGTCATCTATTATGGCGGCAGTGACGGAATCTACAAAGAGCATTTGAAGGAAAAGAACGCAACTATACACGAGGTGTTGAAGGAACACAATGTGTGGGACATGTTTTTTAAACATTCGTTATATTTCATAACTTATCCATTGCAACACCTGTATAAACTGAGTGAAAAGAAAGCGGAGCATCAAAAATATATCCACGAGAAAATCTATCAATTCGTCATTGATGGAAACGATGATATATTTATAACAAATGAAACCGGATTATTTTTAATCAAAAATGGTACAGAGGATCGGATATTTTACAAGGGTCCTAAAGTTTTCCGTGCGATAGAGGTAAATAATAAAGGTGTAGCTTATTTTTGTAGTAAAAATGGAATTTATGTACCCAATAAAAAAGATCACACATTGGACATGATAGCGCGAGTCAAACATATTTTTGGCTTGGCATTTGACACTGATGATAATATTATATATTCCGATCCACACGAAATTGTTAAATTATTGCCAGAAAAATGCAAATAAGTTGAATATTATATTGCTTATAATTATCGTTCATCAAATTGTATTTAGGATGTTTATCATACCAAAAATCCTACTATATTTCTATATATAAGGATATATAAAGGAAGTTTATAGAAAATGTTTAGACTGTACTTATATAAAAGATTAAATTACGTTTATAATATTGTTTTTCTATAATCATATTTTACGGTTTTACGGTTATATTTATCGTTAACGTTCGTTGTAAAATTTCGTATTCCACAGACATATCCGTGTCTTTCAGATAATCGATAATAATTTTACTAGTATTTTACCGGAAATTCCACATCGAATTCCTGCTTACGTATAAATAATGGAGACGGTTCCTTTAATAGAAAGTCTATTGTTAACATTACTTTAGTTTATTAATAGAATTTAAAAATACATTTAACGTAGAATGTGTTTAACAAATGAAATTCCGAGTACTTGAAAGGAATTTCAACTCTATAATTGGATTGTAGGTACAACTAAAGAAGCCATAAAAGTACTGCTTCATTTTCAATAGTACTATAAAAAGCCCCTAATCTCGTTTACGCCCTAAACACGAGTTTGCGTTTAATTTATTAGGCGATTTAAGTTTTTTGGCTTCAGTACAAATATCTCTTAAGTCGACATTGATTTGTTTATATTCGAGCCTTCTTTGTTTATATGAGTTTTACAAAATAGAGTCGTCCATATATATTTGATATACAACAATGATTAAAAAATATAAAAAAATATTTCAATAATATCCAAAACTTTTATATTTAGCGCTTTGCTGGGGCCTTTGTTTTATTAAAAATTCTGTATAAGAGTTAAGTTTTCATCATTTGAAAATATTTAACACCAGTGTTTCCCAACCTTATTTGTACCACCCCCACACATTACCCTTCTAAATCTCTTATGCCCCTCCCAGTTTGTTACACAGTAAGTAAATTTTCAAAACATATGAAAAACGTCGAGTCCATTTTCGAACTGCCCCGCTTAACAGTCAAATTGCCCACCGGTGGGGCGTAGGCCTCAAGATTGGGAAACACTGTTTTACACACAATATATAAGACCATTTAAATAAACACTTGAACGATATTAAATTATAATATTTATTGTAGTAGAACATTTGTAGCAACATATCTTTGGTAATATAAAACTATAAGAAAGTATCGGACGGAAAATATTAAGGCAGTCAATAAAAAGTAAATATAGAAATACGTGCAATTTAGCATCAAATTTTGTACGGAAAATGGCGTGGTTTTTGGAACTAATATAATTCTTATTTATTCTCAAAGATTATATACTTCTTCTTTTTATACAAGTATCAAGAAGACTATCGGAATATTACGCAACAGCGCTGTCAATAATCATAAAAAAGCAAGGTAAACTGCTGCACCTCTAATCCGACGTCAGTTTTGTTTTCGCACAAACTTAGTTTTTGCTATAATTGCCTTTTAATAAGTTAGATGTCCTTTGAGTAAATTTTTTCCATTATATAAGGTTAAAAATCACCTTTATAAAGACATTCGTGAGTTTGCATAAAATATATAATTATCAAATAAAAGATATTTAGATTATAATCTTTCATAACAATGGACTTATGTCGTATCTCAATCACATAGTTACGAAAGCAAATAAACACGACAATATCGATAACATGACACCATACATTTGTCTAGCTGTACCATTACCACAGACCATTCTTCTGGAGGAAACAGAAAGTTGCTTAGTCTGGAGCATGGAGTGTACGGCATCTACTTCCCACCGGGCCATTTGACCTGGCTCTCTCGAGAAAAGAACGGAGTATAGCTGCGCAGGTGAATTAGCCTTGGCTTCCTGACAGAAGTTTAGTACCAGGTGGTCGTTGACAGCTTTTAACACCTGCACTGTGCCAGTGAACTGATGGTATGATGGTCGAGCAGCGAGGGTACCTAGAAATAGATTTTGAACGCATATATACGCAAATTTATTGATAGAAATTCGTTTGAATATTTTTATTTAATAATTAGGAATTATAAAATTGTGAGGAAACCCGCATGTCACAAATCCAAAATTGAAGACTTTTGTAGACAGAAGGCTGATCATCTGTTTGTCTATTTAAATAAATGATGGCGAAACAGAGCTGAAGCACCTTTCAGGTTCTTGGAATTTAGGACTAGTTTTTTTTTGTGTTTTAAAAGCCTTGTATTACCAGTTACTTCATATTATATTCGATAAAATATTTACCATTCTGTACATCAAACGTCTGCCAATAACCGGCGGAGTCATTTCGGAAGTAGAGTGCATATTCAAGGGTCTGTCCGGCCTCATCCCACAAAAGCCGAAGATGCCGGTACTCGTGTCTAAACTGAGCCCTGATGGCCTGCACGTGGTGTAACTCCTGTCTTTCAGTAGACGGCTGTAAAAGGCGAATTAATAGTAATTGCAGAAAATACTGTAAAAAAAAAAACGTGTGTGTGTGTACTTATGTACACGCGTTAGAAGTTATACTTCTTTGGCGTAACAAGATAAAAGTCTTTTTAAACATTTTATCTTTCGCCTTATTCTACGTTTGTACAAAAAATGACACTAACAATAGAAAAAATTTACTCTCATAATTTTTCCCTAACGCGTCAAAAGAAGTATATTAGTATAACTTCAAAAAACTAAAATGTTGACAATAGCTAACTTCAGGATGTCGATTTTTGGGACGGTGTGCGTGCACATCGTAAAAATTTACTCTCATCATTTTTCCCTAACGCGCCAAAAGAAGTATAACTTCAAAAATATCGGATGTAAACGTTAATTTAGTTCATCACCAGCGTCGAATTTTATATCTTCCTTGTCAGCTGTTATAACTGTGTTAGGTGAAATCTTATTAATAAAGCACATTATATAATAAAAATATACGAGTTTAATAGTTGTAACAGGTTTACTTAAAATCTACATTAATATTTCTATAGGTAATCGACAGGTTTTATTAAAGACATAATTGTAAGAATTATTAGTAATAATCCTAACAGCTTTCACTATTTTTTTTTTGATTACGAACTTTCAAAATCAAAAATAAACAATGAAATATACAGTATTTACAATTTTATTAACGTAATAACAAAAATAGTTAAAAATTAATTATAAGACAATTAAAACAAATTTTAAAAGTTAGGTCCCTGTGGCAGCTTGTGACCATTAACGCTGGCAGCATTTCCTCGCTGTATTGCGATACTTATTCGTTGAGCGAGGAAAGCACCCAGTTCTAGGGTCACCGGTACAAAAACGAGAATAAACTGTGGTTTTGTAAAAAAATAATTTAATATCTTAGATATCTGAAACTACACGCAACTATGTTATTTAATGAATGTGTGAGCTGAAAAGTTGCTACCTAATTTTAAATTTTCTACTCAAATCTAGCAAGTTATTATCACCTCCATTGCTGACTTTAAATAATGTTACAGCTATGTTTATTACATAATTAAGCCAATGCTTATCACATAAATAACTAATGTATCGATAACAAATCAGCAAATTGTTAAACTTGCATGCAAACACGTTGGCATCGGTATCCCTGTTGTATGATAATTCTTTCACCTCTACTAAAATGGATGTCAGTTGGTAAAACACACTAAAGATTTTGTTCACGTTTTTATTTTATTAATCTCGCGGTACCACATAACAAGTAAACCCTACTTGGTACGGAGGAGGTGTGTGTGCAGTTCTGCGTCACAAGTGGCCGATACGTAAGAAACATCTTGTGCACATTTAGAATGTTTCACGCGCGAGTATTTATTTGTACAATTACAAATTTGTTAAATATTTATCATAAAGGTGTACTGAGGCAAAGTTGTTTTTGAAGAAATAAAGATTTAAAGTAAACCGATTTGATGAACACAGTAACATCAAAAATGATGTGTGAAGTGAGAAAATACCTTGCGCGCTTGTCCTGTGATTAATCCCGTTTTACTTTTTTAATCGTTAATATTTTTTATATAAGTCGACTCGCGACGTTTCTCTCTTATCAATAGTCAGAGGGCGCAATGTAAAACAGAAGACGGAAGACGAAATGTTGCGTTCGATTGTGATTGGTCAAACAGATGACATGACGCATCATGTCGCGTCTCAATGCGTATTAAACTAGGGTTGGTCTTGACGAATAACAATCAAACGGAGCGCGCAATCGTTATGTTCAGTGTTCACCCAGTTTGTTTATCCTTTTATGAGAAAATACATAATACATAATAAATAGTGATTGTTCAATTTATTGAATAATCTCCAAATCGGATCGAATTCATTCACCATCATAATCCTACATTATCCCAGTGCTATAAAATAATTCAATATAGTTAGGGATTCGTATGAAATCTTCGATAAGGTCACCCAAGAATAAGAATGATACAATTTATTAATTTATATTAAACATTAATTACGCAACAGCAATTTATGAGCAGTGTTGGCGTAGTGGCTTCAGCGTGCGACTCTCATCCCTGAGGTCGTAGGTTCGATCCCCGGCTGTGCACTAATGGACTTTCTTTCCACGTCTACAAAGCAAATATCCGAGCGAAGTGGGAAAAACGCTAGTTTTATATAAAAATGTATTGCAAACCTACTGATATCGACTGTTAAAAATTATATTATCTATTAATTAAGTCACGTTTTCATTGTTTCTGTACTCTAGGGTTTCTGATGCTTCGGCTCAGGTATACGGAAAAGACCTTGTACTTAGTTCCTAGTTGTATCTATTTAGCATTAAGTATACAGACTATTATGGACAGACACATATGACTGATGATGCTCGTGAACGGGTGCTGCTTGTGGTGACTGGTCGTACTTGAATTCGTATATGCGGTGATGTTGGTTCTTTCGACTATGTGTTGCGTGTTGTTCCCACGAGAATGTAAGTGCGTGCTCCTATTTCACCATGTCTACTGCTGATAGAGGACAAATCTTTGTTTTTAATTTATGTTATTATTATTAATTACTTAAATGTCACATGGGACATGGTGTAATGGTTGCAGCTCCTTACAAACATTTTGTAAAACAAAAAAATGCCGATTAAAAAGAGTGGCGGAGAGTTTATTGCTAGTTCTTCTCTCCCGTTCTACGCCCTTGATTTGAGAACTGGCAGTAAATGTAAAATTAGAAGCATTAATATGTAATTCCTTACTGACATGTCATAAGTGTACATTATGTTACCTATGTGATTAAATGATTTTTTACTTTTAATATTACAAAAAGGCAATTTTTGTAACATTCTGTCCATATCTTTAGTCTGTTTTCAGTTAGTTATCAATTTAAGCTTCCAACATTCCTATGTTTTCTTATTTGTTTCTATAAAAGTACATTATGTATTAGGCAAGAAACACCATTGTTCTATTGCCTGTAACCATTGAATGCAGGAGGCAAATATCGGCATAATAAAACATTTTTGTGATTGTAACACACGATTAAAACTTCAATACAGTAAATGTATTTAACTAAATGTATCGTTTATATGATTCAATGTGCAACTGAGGCAACGGAGCATTCACAATTATTTCGCAATCTACGATTGTGTAGTTGCGGAGTTTATTGGTTCAATTGAAGTCCTTGGGTATACTTTTGTACTACATTAATAAACATGTAACTATCGTAATGATTACAGCTGTTTATTATCCGCTTTTATTTTTCTTTAGCCATGAATTGATAAATGAAAATTCTTTCGCAAAATGAAACCGTCAATTGATCTAAAAGGGTAACAATATATTATCTAAAGACCGGAAATTCTACGAATACGCGAAAAAAGACGAGCGCGTGCGTCATATGCCATTCAACAATATGCAGATTTGTTTTCGATACATTACTTTTGTATGTGATAGACACACTATATACATAGGTAACGTTGGTAATAAATATAGCTGAACAATTATATAAAGCCAGCAATTAACTTGCTAGATACTTGCTAGATACGAGTAGAAAATTAAAAATGACATAACACCTTAGGTCGTACAGTTATTAGGCATCATAGTTGTGTATAGTTTTAGTTCTTTATGACATTAACTTATGCAAGACCACAGTTTATTTCTATATTTAAAATTTCCAAATTAAAAAAAAATTATGAAATCTGTTAGGCTTAGTACTATTCTTACATTTATGTTATTAATAAGCTGTCGTTTTAATATTAATGGAGCTTTAAATTAATTAATTATAAATGCATTATTAGTAAGATTATACGCAACAAAGTACTGACAGCTGAAAATTAAGATCGAAAATTAGATCTGTAATTCCAGAGGTCTAAAAGATTAAGTGGGTCATACGTATTAACCTTTCAAATGAGTTATTTTAGGCTAAGCTTATATTAGTATACGTGTGAGCAAAACTCTAATTGTGTCATTGTACCCAGCCAGTTACAATATCAACGTTACATTGGAATCATTTTATAGGTTAAATTATTTATTAATTTAATTAATTCGAAACGTAATCGCAAACCATCTGGCCCATGAATACTCATGGGCGGTGTCATTTAACACCACTGAAGAACTTTCTGTACACAAATCAAACTTGTTCCTACAGTGCAAACGCGAGGAAGCCGATATTAAAACTAAATATTTGACGTGTGTCACAGATAGCCCACTTGTCTAGGGAAATGATTAATACAGATGCAGAATGTGCCCATGCCCTATTTGCATGAGGGAACTTCGTATAATAATAACCTTTTTATAGGAAGCGATAAAGAGGGTTAGGTATTCTGTACAAGCCGGATAGTGCGAATTGTAATCGGTTTCCGCTTGCGCAGGAGTTCCCTTATCCCTAAACAAAAATTTATTTATAGAAATAAGTCGCACAATTTTTAAACTTTAACAGTTTTAATAAATGTTTGAATTATTTTAACACAATCGAGTAAAAGGAACTATTCATATCATTACTTAAAACAGTATGAGTTATGTATTACGAAATATGAAAATTAGTAGTAGTAGTAGTAATGGAAAAAGGAAGACAGCAAAGAGATGGGCAGACGATATAAAGAGAATAGGAAGCACAACTTGGACAAGAAGAGCTAACATCAGAAAATAATGGAAGCAGCTGGAAGAGGCCTATGTGTCACAAGCTGATTACCAAAATTAGTCATATGATGTATTAGATTAAGTTAGGTTATGTACCTTAAATAAGTGTTTATATATTATAAAGGGTGTCAGCAATAAAGGCTTAATATTAATGTTAATATCATAGGTGTCGAATTATTTACTTATTTATAAATCTTTATGTAACAGAACCAAAGGGAGAGTATTTCTATAAAACATGCCATTGATAAATCAATTTTTGTATGCAACAAAAAACCTACCCCAAACGTTGATTTGGGAAAGTCATCAACCTCCCAAATTACCGCAGTAGGACAGCTGGTGTATCTAGAGACACCTTCCCCGCTTTGGTGAAGGTACAGTTCCACCACTTTCCACTTCCCCAAAACAAGCCTGACGTCCAAATTGTCATAATTATGCTCATTATAGCAAACCACTTGATTCGTCGAATTTGACGTAACATTAAACTCTCCATAAGCAACGCAAAACAGAAGCACCACCCAAGGTAATCTTAATATAATCCGACCTTGTACCTCCATTGTCTCACATCTAATTTTAGCTCAAACACATATTGAATATTACTTTTGTTTAAGAAACGATTTAAACTTTCAATTTTGATACCGCGTCGGCAAATATCGCAGAGTAAGTGATCGAAAGCAACTGGCATTCGAAGAGCTGCGCGCGCGCCGTGACTCATTGGATTGATGTTATCTTATTTAACCCTAGACCTCTAGGAATTGCCTACGCTTTAGAAATATTGTCACTGAGGTGAGATTTAAACGATTAAATAAAGATAATATTTTGTTAGTCGTTTCATAAACCGTTATTTACACAACAATATTCTACGAAATAAATAAGCAGGAAAACTGTTGATAAATATATGTTATAAAATAAATAGAGGCCAAATTGACCAAATTAGTAGGTGAATTTATTTTCTTAAAGGAGTTGAAGAGTTGTTTAACAAATTTTAAATTTAACTTCTAAATAAAATAAATCAGTGACGATACAACCTTTTTAGATTTGAGCCTCAAGTGTCTGAATCTGTTTCATGATCATTTGTCAATCTAATAGACAAGTGGATGTTTCCTTACGATATTTCCCTTAGAGCAAATGTTAAATGGGCACATAGAAAGAAATTTCATCGGTGCACAGCCGGATCGTATCTACGACCTCAGGGATGAGAGCCGCACGCTGAAGCCACTAAGCCAACACTGCTCTATCTAAACTTATAAACTCAAACTCAAACTCAAAAATCTTTATTCAAGTTGGTAAACAATTACACTTATGAATTGTCAGAAAGAAGTTAAATTAACTGTAAATTTACATTTACTACCAGTTCGCAAGTCAAGGGCGTAGAGCGGGTAAGAAGAACTGGCAAGAAAGTTTCCGCCACTATTTTTAATCGCCAAGTATTGTCATAATAATTGTTTGAACTGGAGCAAATCAATCCGAAGGATTAGGATCATTTAAGTATTTCTCAAATTTATAAAAAGCTTTATTGATTAATTTTCGTTTAACGAGGGCTTTGAATTTATTTAGTGATAATCCTCTAATATACATACCATATCGTTAGGTTCAGAAATGTGAATAACAATGCAGGTCCTTCCATAGTCAACCCTGGCATCTCCAGCTAAATGATGAATGAATTCCACACCGTACCACATTCCTGTCAAACTATCAATCCATATACCATTCTGTGGCGATCTATTTTGACAGTAATCATTATTGTATTGGCCTAGAAACGGCCTTTCATACGAAGTTATAGGTCCATAATTCTTTTCCATGTTACCATACTGGCCGTAGCTTTTTCCATAGTCACTTCCATATCGAGGTGTCGTGTAACTCGGTAAAAATACATTTCCGGTTCCGGGAGAGTTAAAACGGCTCGTCGAATATCCGGTATTAAAGGGATATTTCGTTATAGCAGAGAAGGGAGCTATATCGCTACCATAATTGTTCTTATACGGAAACTGATTTTGATTATAATAACTAGAAGTACTTGGATACCGTGTACTTTCCCCGTAAAAACTCGCTCCATATACAGAGGTAACGAATAGTAAGTAGTAGTACATTTTTGGAGAAATTGAAGACGCGTGTGTGTCGTGATGATGTCTGCTCCTACTACTACGAGAGTGGGATGTAAACTAATTAAGTATAATCGTGTATAATTGGCTATGACCCAAAGCTTGGTAACTAGCAATTTGGATCCGCTGCCCCTTTGACACCTATTTTAATCAACAAAGGTTGATGAGTACTCATATCCCCTATGACTAAAGTTTGAAGCAACAACATGATAAACTTCATGGGAATTTGAACCTAAACGTCAGTAGTAATCTAATGATATAAATGTAAATTTTAGAATAATTGATTTTTGTAAATAATTACATAAATATAATAGTTTTGTTACTTAGTGTTTTTATACACACTTTTTCAAATATTTCTCAAAAGAATTAAGAGTTTTTTCCTACCTCTACACTTTTACCTGAAATTGATTTTATTTTCTATTTAAAATAACGCTTAGTAGTATATTGTTTAGAAATAGCGTTAGTAACATAAAATAATAAACATGTATTATTATACGGTATTTATTCGTTTATTATAAGAATGACACAATTTATTAATTTAAATTAAACATTAATTGCGCAGCAGCAATTTATGAGCAGTGTTGGCGTAGTGGCTTCAGCGTGCGACTGTCATCCCTGAGGTCGTAGGTTCGATCCCCGGCTGTGCACCAATGGACATTCTTTCTATGTGCGCATTTAACATTCGCTCGAACGGTGATGAAACTTATCGTGAGGAAACCGACATGTCTTAGACACAAAAAGTCGACATCGTGTGTCATGCACTGGAGGCTGATCAGCTACTTGCGTATTAGATTGAAAAATTATCATGAAACAGATTCAGAAATCTGAGGCCCAGACCTAAAGAGGTTGTATGATTATTATTATTAAAAATTAATAACGATGTATGTACTTGAATAGGTACACGAAAGACAATATTCTGCTACTAAGTACCTGCTTTCTGTAAACGTTCTTTGTAATCTTAAAGATTGAACTCACTTACTCATACTTTTTACGTTTCCTACTTCCAGCCAATTTGTCTGGGAACTTTATTGATAACGAGGTGGGTCAAAGATCGTAATTAGTCGAATTAATGCAAGCCATAATTCGACCGAGTTCCTGTTTGCCACAATCTTCTGGTTGGAAGTTCAAAGGTCACGAGTATGTCCTTATCAATGGGATTAATTAAGTGGATTAGGGGAATTTAATTCTCAAAAGCTGATTATTAAAACATTAGTTATAAAACACAACAGAAAAAATATTAATTAAATATATTTAGTGTTTAAACTGCTAACAAAACTGAACATTTACCAACCCTTCGAGTCACAGATCCTATGAAATTATTCGTTATATTAATGCATTTGCAATTCATTTATTTTAAACAATTCATGGTTTGTTTTGGTCACCGCGTCGGGACTGTTGTATATAATATTAATACATATTGTAATAGATAATTGAATACATTAAAGGATGTGCATGTCGTTAGCAACCAGAAACAATCATTGTTTTGCCGGAAACCGAACCTGCATTGATTTATACGGCTCAATTACGTAGGCCACTAAATGTAAGAATCAAAAGTTAGCACGAACTAGCTAAATTTCAAAAACGAAGCGAGTTAGGAATTTCGTATGTAATAATCCTATACGTTCTTCATATACACTTACCGCTAAGACTCGACTATGAACCGTACCACAAGACGTGTTATTTTATATATTACTAGCTGATCCGGCAAACGTCGTTTTGCCATGTATATCATTTATAATAAAAAATAGGGGTTGATCGTAGAGGGGAGAAAATTAGGGGTTGTATGTATTTTTTAATGTTGTATCATAATAAAAATAAAAAATAAAAATTTATCTAAAGATTAAAAAAAAAATATTAGGGGTGGACTACCCTTAACATTTAGGGAGATGAAAAATAGATGTTGTCCGATTCTCAGACATACCCAATATGCACACAACATTTCATGAGAATCGGTCTAGCCGTTTCGGAGGAGTTTAACTGCAAACACCGCGACACGAGAATTTTATATATTAGATAGTACTAATACTTGGAAATCTGAAGGCCTCTATGTCTGAAGACAAGCAAATACCGAGAATGATTGAGTAGATTAATTATAATATTAGTATCAAAATATGTAAATTCATAAGATTAGTTATTAGGTCTAAGAACTTGATTGTTGGCTTTATTCATTCACTGAAACTTCAATTTAGTTTTGATACATATAGTACACATTTTTAGTGTCAATAATTTTATTGAATTGACTTTAAATTGTAGCTTGATACAGTTGTAGTAATTATTCATTTTCATTTAAAAAAATCAGTGGCGGTACAACCTTTTTAGGTCTGGGCTTCAGATTTCTGTATCTGTTTCACAATCATTTGTTAATCTCATAGGCAAGTAGGTGATCAGCCTCCTGTGCCTGACGCACGCCGTCGAGTTTTTGGGTCTAAGGCAAGCCGGTCTCCTCACGATGTTCACCGTTCGAGCGAATTCTAAGTGCGCACATAGAAAGAAAATCCATTGATGCACAGCCGGGGTTCGAACCAAAGACCTCAGGGACGAGAGTCGCACGCTGAAGCCACTAGGCAACACTACTCTGTGTAGTAATTTCATTTACCGTCATTATAATGGGATCACATAAATAAAAATCCATTTGCTTTAATATTTTATTGGTCTACCACGTGTACTTTTACAATTTCCTTAAAAGTAAGCAAATTAAGAATAATATTATGGAATTAGTGTGATTACAACCAGCGCATATGGCATTATAGCGATGAACGTTTGGTAAGTCAAAAGTGTAGAATTGTCGCTTATAATCATACCACTCCCATCTTTCGACCCTTGTCGGGGATCGCCGCAATATTAAGGAGAAGATACCACCATCGCCGATTTCGGAACAGTGGTTTAGGACGAGGGTACTGGGTGTTACTTTCAAAAGCTTTATTACGTCTGGATGTCGAGGTGGGTCGTCGGGATACCAAATTTCTGGAAAAATTGTTACAGATTACTATTTCAAAATATATTTGGGGTTACCATTGCGTTCCAACAAGATATTGAATATATATATATATATAATTATAATTAATTAATTATATATATTTGAATATATATAAAGCAGTAAGTGCTTCGAGCAGCTTAAATTCTAATAAATATCTAGTAAATAATGATTAAAATTTTAAAACTTGCGGTGGAGTGTGATATTCGAAATTCAAAACATTATTTTCAAAAATCTAAACTCTAAACATTTAGTAGTCGGGTCAAAAAAAAAAAAAAAAAAAAAAAAAAACCCCAACCCCCCCCCCCAAAAAAACCATTCCCCCCACAGCGAGGAAAACCAAAACCCCTTTTTTCGTTTTCCCCTTTTTTGTGGTTGCGCCCCTTCCCCCTCTATTTTGTTGTGCGCAGTATTGATGCTTGTTGCCGTTGCCGTAAACTTGATAGTCGTGAGCATAATTGACAGTTTGACTGGAATTGAGTTTGCCCGAACGCCCTTAAGTGAGCTTACATTGCCTTGCCAAAATCGCTTGCTTGCTACGTACTAATTACGGCAAGACTATGTTGACGTTTGAGGGAGCGCCTGCGTGAATTTCAGGTGCCAACTGTGTTTAACGTTTACGAGACGTTTGGTGTGCTTTATGACTAAAAATAAATCTGTTTGTTATCTTTTAAATTACCTCTATTTATTATTCATTGTTGTTGTTTTTTGTTTTCTTTTATCTTGTTTTGTTGTTGAATTGGGTAGGTTAATATTCGGTGCAAATAAATTATAGGTATATAAATGTTTCTGTGTAACAAAAATAAAATTCAAGTTGGTTTGGTTCAAAGGGTTTGAACAGTTGGATGGCTAAGTAAAATGGAAGGGTGGTATAATAGCGTGCCGAAATAATGAAGCATGATTAATTAAACATTAATAGATTTGTTCTAAGTATAAGAGTTTCACCGCTTTTATTTAATTGTCAATATAAAATTTTTTATTCCGTAGCAGTTCGCTACTTGTAAAAGTATCAATCATATCGTATGAAAATGCTAACCTACACCTTTGGCCTTCATTTCTCTTTCCCACGTTGACATTGTTTCGGCCGTCCAAAATCCCGGTTCCTCAGGATAATAAAGATAGATTTGCTCCATAGTGTGACCATCCTCATCCCAAAGCACACGTATTCTCTTTTGTCCGAATAGATCTCTCTTGTCTCGCCTCCTAAGTCTAATGTCCAACCAGGAACCAGCCAACGCATTTCCCGACCAGGGATTGCTTTTAGATGACCTCCAGTTCTGATCTGTATAGTTTCTGATTGGGAGCTAAAATTTTAATTCAGTATAAACCATGCCTTGTTGGTGTTAAGTTTAAATACCAAGCCAGTTGGCTCATCTTTTGCGCTTTTCAGGCATTTGCTTACTTAACAAATGAACTGTGCGAAAGAAGTCACGGTGACCAACGATAATATAAAAACATGTGTGTGTACTTATGTACAGGCGTTAGAAGTTATACTTCTTTGGCGTAACAAGATAAAAATCTTTCGCCTTATTCTACGTTTGTAGAAAAAAGGACACTATCAATAGAAAAAAGGTATTTAATACATTGAAAGTCTTATTATAACTCATTATCTAGTTAAATAAAGTTTATTTGAAAATCAGAAACAAATATAACATAGTTCAAGAAATTGACATTTTTTATTTTAAAATGTTGACTAAGCTTACTTCAGGGTGTCGGTTTTTTGTGACGGTGTGCACACGCATCGTAAAAATTTACTATCATCATTTTTCCCTAACGCGCCAAAAGAAGTATAACTTTAATAAAAAATCTTTAAGCGTCTTTGATTTGTGTCAGACACATATCCTCGATTTAAAGGCTGCGGTCATTGCGGTTTTATCATATTATGGTAAAATGGTAAAAAAGTTAAAAATCCAATTATGAACGGGTGTGCATCGAACGTCTACTGGGTGGACGTTCGCACGCACACATATACACACACGCACACGGACTGGTGGACTATTATTGTCGTTAATATTTCATTTACATAAGTACTTACTGTAGCATCGAAGAAGTTATCACTGATTATATCGTTTTCAGCATCTGAAATGTACAAACTAACACACCCTATTTCATCGGGCCGATTAGTCATATCTGGATTGTGCTGGGCATAACCAACTCCATACCACACTCCATAAATATCATCTATGTTTACTCTGTGCGACCACCGAATGCTGTCACCACAGACTCCATGAACTATAGTGACACCAAAGGTTAAACTCAAGTATAGAACTAACACTTTGAACATGATACCACGTGGGAAGTCACAAGGAATATGGAGTAAGGCGTCCTGTGCGCATCACTTAATTAGCAAATTGATGCAGGTATATGCAAAATGGCGTAATCATGATTCAGTGGATTTATTACAATAATCATCATACTTGTAGAGTCTTGTCATTGTTTGTATTTGGGTTTTGAAGACATCATTGATGTTTAGTCTTAGCTAATTTTTCACTCTGTACTACCCTAAGTTCTCATTTCGTACGGGTTGTCAAAATATTTTAGGCCGAACTGTATTGAATAAAATATTGATACGCTTATGAACTTCAACAAATGATTGATTATCTAGATTGGCAATTGAAGACCACTAGGCAGACTGTATGTGCGTAATATATTTAGGTATATTACGCACAAAATACACAGGTTACATATTGGTATGCCAATCAAATCAAAATAGTAAATGCTTTTAATTTGACATTTACTGCTAATTCTCAAATCAAGGGCGTAGATCGGAAGAGAAGGACTGGCAATAAACTCTCCGCCACTCTTTTTAATCGCCAAGTTTATTGTTGTTTTACACAATGTTTGTAACCATTACATCATGTTCCACATGACATATTAAATAATTAATAATATTTTACACACGATCATTAAATATATCCAAGAATATCAGCTTCACGTGATATTTTTTAACGCTTATAGAAAAAAGATTAATTTTATGTTTGTGAGTTTGTTTGAAGTAAGATCTGGAATTACTGCTACGGTTTTGTGACATACATGTGACATTTTTTCCAGCATATACAAGTGTTGATGTTATCCACAAGACTTATATGACTATATATATACTATTTGTTAAAAAATCATATTAAATGATGCAAATTTGCCACACTTAAAATATAAGGCGTGTTTTATATAAAAATACATAAAGAAGTCTCTTTTTACAAATAAAATATATCAAAAGTTATAACTTACACAGCATAATTCAATTAAGGTATAAAATAAATTCCAATTTGTGAAAAATAATCTTTATTAAAATATATTTTCATACAAATAACTTTTATTGCGATCTAAAAAATATAAAAATACATGTAATCATAGAATAAAACGAGAAATTCAGGTTTGAAGCTGAATTTTCACAGACACGTTTTAATGAAGAGGTAGAAAGATTTTTCATAGAAAATATATTGTGAATACTGGAGAGATCTTCAGGCGTTAACTGGTTTTCGTTTCTGGCAAGAACAACACTGTACATTTGAGAGTGAGGCAGTCTCATACAAAAGTTAAGGACGAGATGATTGTGCGACACCTTCAGTACTTGTATCACTCCCCCGAAGAATCTGTACATGCTCTCCACAGCTGGAAATTTATAAAAATTATCGATACATTTTCAATAGATTCTAAATTCATTTAAATGTTTTATTAATAAGTCTGATCCTAGTGCTTCAAGGTGAGACTTTCAACCCTGAGGTCATGAGTTCAATCCCCGACTATATATCGAGATATATTTCTTCGTATAAAAATCGTGAAGGTATCTTCGAGAAATCGACTTAAATATCGACGTGAGTTAAACACCACCGGACGATCGTTCACTTAAGTATCAAGGAAACCATGACGAATAAAGAGCATTGTAACGCATTGTTTGCCTTTTTACTATTTAAATAATATTGCAACATTTATAATACAAATACGAATTAATTTTTGAAATTCCTAATTTGCAATAAGTTAATATATTTACGCCCTTAAGCCGATATATGATTTTTTTGCCACAAAAATATCGCAAGTTCGCAATAGATTCAGAGCTTGATATATTCGGTAGTAGGCTCATGCATTTTAGAAAAATCCTTAAGTAAAGTGAATTTTTAAATAGGAAACTACAAAAACTACAATTTGAAGTTGGAATTATTATCATTTTTTATAAAATTTATGTTTATGAAAAATTATAAAATTGTGTAATTGTTATGTATTTAAGAATAGATATATTGTAACTTATACTTAAGAAAATGTTGTGTACTTTAATAAAATAATAAAATAATATACTACATACATCCGTTTGGCACGTCAGTGGGCCAGAATCCTTTGTGTGAAGTGTTGACTTTGATGTGATAATCATCTTGCCATAGGCCTTCATGCCACTCAAGTACAAAATGCCTGATCCTGTATTGTTCAGGGAGTCCATAAGCCTTATTTACGTAGGGCGAGTTCGTCAAGGGCGGGTAGGGCGTGGGCGGCGTGGGCTGAAACGAAAACGTTAACCTTTTGACTCTGACATTTGAATTGTGATAAGCTACTGCAATCATCTAAAGGTCAGCGTGGCATGAATAAATATTTTTTTCTTCGGTACACAGTTGAGACGAATAAGTTGATTTTAGTGTCATATTCATAGTAGTGTTCATTTTTATCTTTGTTTTGGATAGTCTACTTATTGAGAAAAGCAGACCGTTTTGATCCAATTAACGCAGGTAAAAGGTACGGGTAATAAAGTATGAAAACACGGATAGATTATGAGATAGAGTAAAAGGGTAATCATTACTTATTTTAATATTAAAAGAGCTTGACAATTTCTTACGGGTCTAAACTACAAGGCTCTTATATATTTAACTAGCGTTCGCCAGAGACTACCAATAAGATATATAATACAACGAATTTAATACCAAACATTCCACGATTCAATAAAAAGCTCAAAAACCAATTTACACTAAGAACTTACTAGATCTTTAGTAATCAGTCCACCTTGGACATAATCTTCAAACTTTCGTATTTGTACAATTGGACAATACGGATTGTAATCTGTCTTAGTTTCATTTAAATCATGAAAAATATACTCGTGAATATACCACAAACCGAGAACGGCTTCTTCGTCAAAATCGTGTACAGGATGTAGATTAGGACAGAATCTCCTATCCACGGCGGACACAAGCGTAAATAACGCTAATATAATCAAATTACGTATACACATATTAACTTTAATTAACCGAAATGGATGTGTAATTAAGTGAGGCACAAGACAAGTGGTTAATTGAAGGTGCCCCAGTCACACGGACGAAGCGTCATCCGTGCCACGGGAACAGAATTAAACTACTAATTGGCACCTCGACCCCACATCCTTTAAAACTTTACGACGTACGTACGTACGTAATTTGAATAATTTATTCTTAGTAATTGCTATTGCTATTTGGAAGAGATCTTAACGAAAAGATCGCTATCGCTATTTAAGTTTTCTGATTATGTACGTAACGAAGTGTGCGTTCAAGTATTACGTAACGAATTTTGGGGGGAGGGAGGGTCTTTTGGTACAACGTTACGATGCGGGGCGGGGATTGAATTAAGTCGTTATTGTTAACATTATTTTCGACTTTCCATTACTTTTACACTTTAATGATAACTTTTAAGTATAAAGAGTCACTAGGTGGTCACGAAACGTTTACTATACTTGGGTAAAGTACTCTACTTGGGTACAGAAAAACGTTACGGTGCGTTAAATGGGGGGGGGGGGTGTCAATAATCTCCAACAAATTGCGTGACGTAATACTTGAACGCTCCCAGTCATATATAATAAGTAATACTTTTGTTTGTTTACCAAATACTATAGAGGTTGTTTGGGCAAGTAAATTTGGACATAAGCCAGGTAGTTTTGTTATTGAAAGTTTTAGTTTTATATTTATCCTTGTGTAACTGCATATAATACTTCATTATTTTGAATAAAAAGTAATGCTCGTTAAATAGTAAACTTATTTAAATAAAGAGAAATGTTATTAAAATGTGTCATTTTAAATCCTTTGAATATATTTTTAAAAGTATCTATATAAAATTAAATGTAATTAAAGTTGCAAATAATCGCGACATATGAAGGTAAATCTAACATTAAACATAATTCTAGCATAATAACATTATAATTTTAATGGCTTACCTGAATATATAACTCCTTTATGTCAATATAGAAACATTCATTTGTGTGTTCGACTCTATATTCACCTTTCACGTGTGGTATTTTTTCGACACCATACCAAATACCAGAAATTTGATCCAAGTCAATATATCCATAATATGGCGACAGATCATCACAATATTTGTGATTCTCGAAATAAAAATTATTTGCATAACACTGAGATAACCCTATGAAGGTAAATAACAAAATAAACTCCATTGGGATAACACAACCCGGATAAAGACGGATCTTTACGGATAAACAACGAGAGATGTACTAGGCGACTATACGTCGCTGAGAGTTGGCTAAAGATAATCAACGGATTTAGAGTGAAACAGATTCCCCCGTGGGCGGGCGTCCAAATGAAACACTCAATTGACATTACAACGCTCCTACTTAACAAGTTAGTCCTTCCTCTATTCGTCTGCTGATTTTAAAAGCTGCAATAGTTAACGAACACAACTAAACATCTTATTGATTACGTCTAAATCCCTCCTTAGAAAGTTTGGGAAGTCGGCACGCAAAGTCCTAAACTTTTATTCGCATTTCCTTTCAGAAATTTCCAAGATTTTCCCCAGTAATGCCTTTGAAATAAGTGCAGAAAATTTTCTCGGCATACTTAACTACCCGGGCGGCAAAAACGCGAGAATGTGGAGTTATAAAAAATCAATAGTGGTGACGTAATAGGGTGAGTATGGATTTCACCAGATTGTGGAGCCATCAATATTGATCCAGCATTGTGTGATATCAGTAAGTGTAAAGGGGAGCGCGGTATTGTGACGTCATTCTCCAAATTCTGATTGGATGAGACTGAATGACGTTGTCTCCTGGGTTCAAGTCGAGGTTGATAGCACAAGGGTTTTATGAAACATAGGGGGTTATACTTTACTTAAACTTATGCCAGTTTATAGTTAGTATATTATTAATATAACAAAATATAGTATAATAATTTAAATTCTTAATGATTATTTTAATTTTTTTTTACAAATACACCCGAAGACTCAATAAATTTAACTGTAATTTGGCGAATTAGAAATTCAAAAAGATAGAAGGAACAAGTTACACAGATTTACGATTATTTTTATAAATTTATTTTTATTTGATATTAATTATCTTTCCAACTACATGAGTTAAAAGTTTTTGTTTTTAGTGTGATTAAGAAATATTATGTATAATTATTAATTGGCATTTAATAAATATAAAGAAATCCTATTTACAAATAATGAGAATAAAAGTAGATTTTGATCCAACGAAATTTGAACCAAGGAGAAATAATTCAAATGTTAACATTTTAGTTCACATCAGCTATCATAAGTAATAACTTTATAGTTTTGAGAGTCACTGTAGAGCTACTGTGCTACGCGCTACAGCCTGCCGGCCATAATAGCAAGTTCGTAGGCAAGCTCGTAGCAGAAGGCTACATTGCGATGTAGCCTGTTTGAAGTGTCTATTTTACAATTACAAAAAAATGCAGTATTTTATACTATGTAAAGTGTACTGGGCATTAATTTTTGAGTAACGGTTTTTCGATCGTCATACCAATAAAAAAGAATTAGATAATCAAGTTATAAAAACATTTAAGTGAAAGAATAATTTTAATCGTAATTCTTATCATGTGCTGTTTTTTTCATTTAGACTATTTTAGCGTTTAATTTTAATGCATGCACTAAGCCTACAATGATGACGTATTAAAACGTCCGGTGACGTAACACAAAGCTACGAGGATACTAGGATAACAAGACAAGTGAAGGGGTGTTTGGGAAATAATAGAGCGCGGGTACGTCGTAGATACTAGTTTGGTGCAATGGGGTAGCAGAATCACAAGTAGGTATAATAGTTGGACTCAACTATCGAGGGTGGTGAGGGTGCTTGGTAATCGATATAAGTTAGTTACGTCACACAGAATACACCAACCATTATAGATATTACTATTATTATTTCCTAGAATTTATTTGTTGGATGCTTTAAAACTTTCAAATCCATACTTATAGGAGATATTTATATGGTTGTGTTTGTAACAAATAAACTGTAAACTGTAATAAAGTTAACGTCTCGACTTCGAATACTATATTTTACCTGAGTATGCATTTAAGGATAAAAATGGGCCGCTAAATTATTATAATTCAATGCTATAATTAAAGGAGTATTTATTTTATAAATACATATTACGAAGGAATATAAACAAAATCAAAATATAATTAATTCATGTAGGTAACTTAATATACACTTATAAACATCAGAAAAAACACATACTTATTACTCATATATGCATACACTCACATGTACACTAAAAGACAGGAAATATTTACAAAAATAAAATGAAAACTTAATAATTATACAAATATGTTATGTATTGTGTAAGTTTAAATTATAAGGCCAAGTTAAAAGACTTTTATATTTTATCATTTTTAGGTTTATTACTATTGCGTGAATAAAATAACAGCTCCTAATTAAAATTTTAGCTTATCTAAGATCTCAATCTTAATAAAATAAATTAGAAGCTCAATGAAATGGTGACATGAAAGTTTGCATGCATATTACAGTCGAATATTGAATTAAGGATAGTTTCATTTATATGTAGGTACCTACACCAACCAAAAGATTTGACATGGTAAGAATGTTTTTTACACCAAAACCTAAATTTAATAACACTAATTCCAGATCGGATTATACTTTAAATTGTTATATTGCGGGCTACTCGATTGTGAGAAAGTTTCATGGATCTGCCTTGCGATTCTGTAACTCACTTTTCGAACTCTCACAGCGGTTTTCACAACGGCGGTCGCGCTCAAATCAGTCGTAAGCAGTCATTTTACGATTTGGCATTCTGATAAACAATAAACTTCAATTTCTAAATGTTCTACACTTTATATAGTGAATATTTAGACTATTATGTTATAGTTAAGTCTATTCAAACGTTAACAGAACACTTTATTTTGTCTTGTTAGTTTAAAATATTTTAATAAATTATAATTACGACCGTCTGCAAATCCATGATAGCGATGTACAGCTAACGAAACGTCGGGACCCGTTAAATTTTGAAATATAGTTATCTCAAATACTTAAATCTAAATGCGTTTTAACCAGTAAGGTGCATTTAAGACTTGTCGTGGTACTTTTCATAATTTACTATACGCTCTAAAATAATCGGTGAATAATGAACAATAGAGGCAATTGTTTCGGTCGAAAACGTGGAAATAATCTATTCTTTCGTTAATAGACGTTTAGATTATAATGCTGATATTAAAGTAACCTTTATGGAGGCATATTGTAACCCTGGCGAAACGCGGTTAAAAACGAAATTGGTTCTTGTTAAAATAACAAGATTTTTATTTAGTACTTAAAATGTTGAAATAATGATAAGCTGATTCGAAAATCAGATGGAAAAATAACGTGAATGTTCAGTTCAAATTCATGAGCAGCAAAAAAGGGTGTGTTACAAATAGCTTTTATTTTTAAAGCTCTATTAAACTAAAGCTAGAATAAACGTATTCAAAAAGCTATCATTTTTCTTACTATTCTGTTGACAGTTTAAAAAAAAGGAAATTGCGTATTATGACCATAGTTCACTTGTTAGTTTTATGGTATGCAAAATCTCGTTCTAATTAATAAATCTGTATTTAAAATTAAACAACCCCTTACAAATCGTTTTCTTTTCATCCCCCCCCTGCCTTCCTCCATCATTGGGCGGCGACAATCACGCACCGAGGGCAATGTTACTAGGGTGTAATAAAATGTTAGAAGGTGCAATTTGAAATTAACTCCAAATACACCGAAAAGCAGTGGAAACTTTAGTGACCTTAATTTCTTGCACAAAGCTGAACTTGACAGAATAGATATATAGACATAATAAAACTATAACTTTTTCATTATTTCTATCCATTTGTCTCATGTGTTAAGACCACAATTATATGTTTGATGAAAAGAGCGTATAAATTAAGACCTTATTTAATTAAAAATTAATTATTATTTATTTAGTGATTTTTTAATTTTGTGAAGATTTATGAATACCATCAACTTTAAGCTAGAAAGTTCAATATCCAATCTTAATCAAATTTATTATGTATGAAGGCTGACACTCCGCCCCTACCCGCCCAAAAATTGTCTCTAGGGCGGCAACAATTTTAAGCGGGCGCCTTTGATACTAGGACATTAGAAACCTGAAGAAAATAGTCATTATTGATTCAGGTCTTGAATAGACGAGTAACGAAATGGGGATAGAAAGTTCTGAGCATGCGCGTTGCAGTTCAGACATGGTGTATTCCAATCAACTATATACTTATCTGTTTTCCGATAAAACTATCATCTAAGTGGCTATTAAAGTAATATAAATAACTAATAATTATGTCCAAGCACATGTTCACTAATATAATACCTACTATAAACAAGACAAAATTTATTACGGATTATATACTACATATTTATATATATATATATACTAGCAGACTCGGCCAAGCGTTGCTGTGGCTAAGGTTTTATAAGGTTCTATATTATAGTGGTAAACTAATCAAGGGAAACGGTAGGAGAACACCAGTCATGGACCACCATCCTTTTTGGTTGCTATGCCATTAAATTGTAGCTTAACAGCTTACTTTCAACACAGCGCCATCTGTTAGAATTGTGACTATCAAATAATAAACAAATATTTTGCAATAAAACAATATTGCGGGTATAAATTGAGATGTAAGCTATCCTCTTTTAAGTTGCATCAAACTACACACAGTGTGCAAATTTGATTGATATCGGTTCGGTAGTTTAGGAGTCCATAGCGGACAAACAACGTGACACGTAATTTATATATATTAAGATTTAAAGTAGGAGAGAAAAATAATGATGTGTAATCTTAAGTGTGCCACCGAAAAGTACGTAAAATGTAGCCGTAAATCCCAAAATCCTACCTTAAGGAATATTATCGTAAAAAGAAAGCCTTAGCAATGTTGCTAATACATATATACTAAGAGATTATCATGTCACAGACAGGTTTATATTTATAAATATGAAATGCCTAACCACCTAACCCAATTACACTCTCGTCTTGACACCTAAGCGTTCTAAGCGATTATAAAACCGCTGACGTAACCAAGATATTAATATAATATTCTACGAGCACATCAACACGTGATGAGGATGGGGAGTAAAGCCTTCGTACGGCATCGTAGGTCATGACGTGACGCCAATGACGTCACTACAGGGGTGGAGGTGCCCTGCCAGGGTAGATGCCCCCCGGAGAAAGTCGGCGTCAGTACGGTTTCCGACGACTTTCCAACTGCACGTTTCAGAATGCTGAAATTTACGTGCGTTCAGTGTATAACATAGTGTAACAAATAATTTCAGTGCAGTAAATTTGGTTTCCGTTTTTCTAGGTAATTTTGTTTAAGATGCAAAATGTGCCGCAACTTTTTGTGATTGATTTCAAATTCGTATTATTGCAAAAAAATATTTTAAATTTCGCTTTATTTCTCAATAAATACAGTTCTTCAGGCCAAAGTTTTATTTAAAAGCTCTTCAAAACAGATTATTAATTAATATATAGTTAATCCTATTGACTTATTTAATAATTCAAACAGAAACACATCGTATTGGTGTCTACAAATTCCGATAATCCGAGTTTTATTTACAATCTAATTTCAGTGGCGATGTACGAAAGCTCCTAAAAATAGCCGGGAACCGCGCGCTCACGTCGCCCGCAACGACTCTCGTTTTTCACTACTCACACTATTTCTGTCTATAAAAAAACTATTCAGAAATTATATGCTAAGAAAATTACTTGGACGTGTGTGCAGACAATGAAAAAGAAACAAAAAGTGCGCAAAAAACCAATGGTCGCGCGGCGACAGTGAAACTTATGTTTTATAGTGTCTCTTTGTGTGCTTCTTTATGTAAAACTTGCCTAAAAGTAAGTATTTTAAACACATAATTCTAGCAATAACAATAATAATTTTGATATTAGGTTACTTCCCTGACATACTTCCCCATTTGGACTGAAACGATGATCTCAAAATGTCAACGGCCACTGACGTGAGAACCGCTAACCAGCGAAATGATATATACCTAGTCTGTACGAAGGTATAATGATACCTGACAAATCACAGAATAACAATGAGATCCTAAATTACAGTCTGACGCTGTCCACTTGATCTCACATAAACAGCTAAACCGACTTGTATGAAAATCGTGTTTTAGTTTTCTATTAAAATATCTGAAAGTCTACCTAATAATATCAGACTTGACTAGCTTTTGACCTAAGCTTAATTATATTTGAACTCTTCATATATGATAGTTAGATGTTTTATAAGTGCAGAGTTAATTTCTTTAAATTGCTTTAATTTGGCTTCTATGTCTATTTTATTTTGACTAATAGCAAATAAAACTTGATTTTAAATATATTAAGCAAATTTAATAACACCTGTCTAAAATTATTAAAACTACAACAGCAACAATAACAATCCTTACTATTACACAAACTCCATTTAATTCTAATATCAATGACTTAAAAAAACAATGTAAACAATAACCCCCCTATTCATAAAAAATACAGAGTAACACAGTAAAAACAGTTTCAAGAATTTTACAGATTAACACATAAGAGTAAGATTGCAATTAGACTTCAGTTTTTATGAATAATGGGTAAAATAAAACAAATACTTCAAAAACATTATACAAGATAAAATACAGTACATCATCTTACATACACCATTAATATTAATTAGTATTTAGATATAAGGCACAGGTGAATAATAGTTTTTTAAACTTTAGAAATTAAAATGTATATATGTATTAACCAATCTAGTTCAAAACTGATTCAGTATTGAAATACCATTACATGATTACATAAAAATTATACTTAGGCTAAACAAACCCAAAATATTTTTTTTAATTCTTAAAATTTTAACAGTTATCCTTGAAATGATGTCTAAATATTAGCCTTACTATTAATGGTTTATGATACAAGTGTAAGCATTAAAAAGTTACAAGTTATTCGTCCATTATAATATAAGTGTTGAGCATGCCAGTTAGCTTTTTTAATCTTTGGGTAGTTTGTGCAACACATTTACAAAAACATAATTATTTATATTTGTACATATATTGACTAGGATCAACTGCCGTAAGAAGACAATATAATATGTAATTCATAATACTAAGTGATATAAGTTTAATATTGTGCTATATATTGGAAGACATTGTATAGTAAATATTTATCAAAATTATGTTTCTAAATATTTTGCTTTACCTTACATTAACCCCTTTTCAATGTCAGTTAATGTTAAAAACTCATAACTTATGTTTTTTTCAACAAATTGTCCATATAGTCAGTAATTTTAGGCCATATTTCATCAGATGTTCTGCCTTCGAAGTGTTTAATAATACCCTTTCCTTTATAAAAATCAATGACTGGTTTTGTCATACTTTCATAAATCTCTAAGCGTTTCTTTACAGCCTCTGGCTTATCATCTGGCCTCTGCATTAAAGCTTCTCCAGTCTCATCATCTTTTCCCATCACTTTAGGTGTGTTAAAACCTATATTATACACCCTTCCAGATGGTAAATGCACCCATCGGTTTTTGACTCTGTCTATTATAACTTCAAATGGAACTACAAGGTTAAGTACAATGTCAACAGGTTTAACTTTCCACAGGGCATCAGCCTGTGTTACTGTCCTAGGAAAACCATCTAATAACCATGGTTTATTCTCTACTCGTTTCAATTCCATTACCATAAAATTTATCATTACATCATCCGGTACCAGCTTACCTTCATTTAAGTAACTTTTAACTTTTTTGCCAAGATCTGTTTGCTTTTCTATGTGGTCCCTTAACTTGTCTCCACTTGAAACATGTTCAAGCCCATACCTTTTTACTAATCGAGACGATATTGTGCCTTTTCCTGATGCTGGAGCCCCCAAAATCAATGTTTTCAATAATTTTGTTTTTATCTGCATTGTGGTTTTTGTGGTAAAAATGAAATATAATATTTAGTAAATTTTTATAAAGAAACTCACATAAATGTTTATTATCAGCTATTCAACTTTTTATCTTTTTATATTTCGATGTGATAAGATTGTCTTATAAGTTCGATCTGTTCGTATTGGTTTTATTTAACATTATGAATAAAAACTATTGTTAAACACATACATAACTCAAGCACATAAGCCAGCACCATTTATATAATACTTTAATAGCACAGTTACTGGTGAAAAGAAATGACTTAATGAGCGTAACGTCATAACTCATAATATCTTTGTCCTTAAGATAATCTGCTTAATTAATTTTTAATGTTGTTTTGTTTTGTCAATGGACTTTGGAGTTTGGATTGGACTTTGGAGTTATCAATGGAATTTTGAGAATGTTGAACTTGAATGAATTAATGTTGTGACATTTGAATTTCGAATCTATTTCTGACACTTGATAATTTGCTAAATGTCGTGCACGTCAAACTCAATCCGAAGAACCGCGAAATACACCGACTAGGTATATTCTATAATGGCGCGCAGCGCGGCGGCGCCAGTCTCTAAGCTATACGAAAATGTACTAACGGTTGTTTCAAAGTTCAGTTTCAATAACATTGTTTAAATATTGCTCATAGTATGTAACGATTGTTGTACCTTCTTTTACTATTGAAAATTATTATATATAACGGCATAGATTAACAATTACACATTATTAATATATTCTGCACCTAATGCCTGTATTCCCTATACGTTTCCTACAAGTGTTGGCAAAAAATATCAAACTTCACATAACGAAAGAGGTGTGAACGGTCAAAACTATTTTAAAGTTTATTTATATATATTCTTAGCTACAAATCGATATGGTTTTCCAGAATGGCGCTTGTCATGTTACCTTGCGACCTCCCTTGGTGGACATCTGTCCAACGCCACTTGAAACATCTTCTCGTAGCCTCCTCATCAACAAAGCTCACAGCCAGTATGCTTAAAATCCACGATATGTGCAAGTAAGTTAAATTTAGCTCATTGGATTGGTAATTTTATAATTTTTAAGAGTAAGATTCAAACTTAAGACTACCAGTTAAGTATGACTTCCGGATGTCAAAAACGCATTAGGTATATATATCAGCATTAACCTTCCACAGGGCATCAGCCTGTGTACAGTCCTAGGAAAACCATTTATGATTTAATAAAGATGGATTAGCTAGCCACGGGGCAATGTAATAACTTACTTTAATAATGTAGTTTTTGCTGGATCGACACTATAATGTCGTTAGCAGTTCGTTCTCGGTCCGATCTCTGGTGTAATAATATTCGTGTATAATTTGGATTCTACCTGAACTTGACTGTTACGGATGGTATGAATGTACACATAATAACACATTTATTTAATAATATTTTACTCGAGAGCAAACCGCGAAAGAAACGTGAGCGGCATTAAAGTATTGGTGCAGCTTTAGTCGCAAAAGTCGCCGGGAACTTTTTTTTATATAGCATGGGGCAAACGGGCAGGAGGCTCACCTGGTATTAAGTCATAGCCCATGAACACTCACATTGCCAGACGGCTTGCAAGTGCGTCGCCGGCGCTATAACATGTAGTTGTTAGTAATAATAAATAATGAACTTTTTTACAGTATCGGCATAGACCCTGATGACGATATTAAAGACCCTGATCTCTTGAAAGGCTTTGAGCAGTTCCTGGAACAAGAATTAAGTGATGAGGAGAGAGCAAACATTTTGGATAACACAATACGCATTATGGTTAATAGAGCATTGCATCTGAAGAAGTGGCGGCCTCCCAAAGGACTTGTTTTCAGTTTACAACAGCAAAGTTGGTAACAATGCATTTACTCATTAAACGTATCGATGTATACCCTCTTAAACTACCAATTATTTATTAAAAACAGATTGGTTTCATTAAAAAATTATCTAAACTAAAAATTCTTTATTTTAAAAACATACCCGTATACAAAAGTAAGAAAAAAATGAACACACCCTGGCTATTGCTTTCCGTAATTTAGATGAAACAAAGATTAAGTCGGCCACGCACACCGTTCTCACCAAACAAAGATGCAATCTAGGAATTAAATAAAAACCATTTTTTAAATATATTTGTGTAATTTTAGGTGATGTAACTGAACTGGACTACAATTTGGTCTCATCTCTCATCGCCCACGCTTTTTTTTCAACGTTTCCGAAAAGAACGCTCAAAACACACCCGACATTACAAGACTTCAACTTTACGCATTTTTTTAAGAATTTACACAGGTAATAAATCTACCCTCAATGTGGGTAGACACAAAATTTCTGCATTCCTAATCTTATAAGTCTTGAACCAGATTCCAATAGTTTAAAAAATACTATTTTATAAAAATTGTTTGTCTTATGAAAAAATTCATCTTAATTACTAAATAAACATTTATTTAAAGAAGTGGGATTGTGTCTGTCGAACGTGGTTTCTAAATCGAAACTTTGATAAAATAAATATAAATCATTCAATAATTTCATCCGCGCCCCGGATGTTACTAAAAATAATTTTATCATAAATGTCAGGTAACCTCTTCGTAATTGGTTTCAGAAAATCTCAACGGAATAAACTAAAAAGCCTTTTACATTATTTTGAGTGGCTGGATAAAAATAGTAATGAAGGTTCTATAAAATTAAGTAGACAGGTAAGGTCATACCGATATTTCATGTTTTCGCTTGGTTTTTATCATTCGGAGTTCTTAGATTTTTTGACATACTAACGTAGTATGACATTACACTAACTGTTTATAATGACATCGTTTAATAACGCACAAACATAGAGTATTAACAATAATTTTAATCTACATAATAATAATGAAAAATGGACAAATGGAAATCTAAAATAAAATTAAAAAGTTTGGTAGTAGGGATATTTAGCATTTTCTCGCTGTATTGCGAAATTTATTCGTTGAGCGAGGAAAGCACTACTATTTTTAATTATATTTTGACAAAGTGCATTTCAAAATATGTATTATTTGGGGAAAATATGTATTCTGTCGCATACCTGCGAAATTCGAAAGCTGTTATGTTCTTATTTGTTTTGTATATTTATTAGCTTCAATATTTCTTCTCAAGGTTCTAACCTCAAGGCAATGGTTAACAATAGAAGACTGGCTGGTTTTTTTTTTTTTAAAAATGTTCTTTTTTTAAGCCAAAAAAAAAAAAAAAACCCACAAACCAAAAAAAAATTCCAAAACCACCTAAAACCTCACTTGTGATAACAAATGATTTTTCTTTGCCCTTGTGTAAGCATATGGTGAGGCATGAGGGAAGACCTGAGCGATGCGAGAACGATGATGCAATCAGAGTATGCTTCTCGTCAAGTCGGATAGGTGGTGATGTACTTATAGATGGAGAGTCCCAGGTATATTTTACTTACTACTACATGACCCGGTGAACTTCGCATTACCTACAGAATATACAACACTTTTAAAACAGACCGAAGAGATCGGATCTCTTACTACAGCTATGAAACACAAATGTCTGTAGGAATCTATAATTAATCTAATAAATATATGACAAGTGACAATTTTTTATTCCTAAAGAGACAATTGACATCAAATATTTCCCATTTTACTTATTATTTATGTTTCCCACCGGGTGGTTTAAAAGTCCCTGAACTTTCACAAATATTTCAAGACCATAATTAGCCAAATCAACACAGGCATTCTCGAGCTTTTGTGAGGCAAACGAACAGCAATTCATTTTTATATAAATATAAGATAATGTACTGTAGCTTAGTTGGTAATGCATACCCTGGGTTCGATCCCCGATGAGGCAAAAATATTTCAGGTGCACAGAACGCTGATTTTTCTAGCCAAAAATAACAGATTTTTTGGCCCTTTGTTTACGGGCCCTTTTACACATATTGTCGTTGAAAAATCGAAAAATATAGTCAAACCATTTGGACTGTATAAAAAATATTATTCATTTACGTTTTAAGTTGTTATATTATAATTATATATAATGAATTTGATATTTATTTTAAAACCACGCCTATTAGAATTGTAAAATATGTATATTATAATAACTTTGATAATTCACTTTTAAATTATACATTAAAAAACATTTTGAATTATTAAAAAATATATTCCCACAGGAAACCCTATCAATGTTTATGATGCCCGAATTACTACCTGCAATGTTATCCGTCGAAGCGCTAGAAGACAACGAAGTTTTAAAAGTAGAAGGTGTTAGAATGTTTAGCAGAATTAGTGACAGGAAATCGAAAGCTAATATAGAACTATTATCTGAACCGAAGACGGTAAGTTATTCATTATGCTTCAATACTTCACTTAGGCATGACCACAGTATAATCAGACAGACAGCTGACATTGACAGCTCGAAACTAACGCCAGTTCCTGTTAACCACAAAGAATCAAAAAAGTTCCTAGTTCGAATATAATAAAGACCTCTAGTTCGAATTCTTCGCAAATATAACAGAATAAACACTAAATAATAATGATGATAAAATTAGTATGGGAATAATGAAAGAGGTTAGACTGTGGACACTTTGCCTTTAAATAGTTCACAATACGCATAAACTCTCACTAAAAAAATATAAAATTGAGGGCGTAACTAATAAATAAAATTGAGAAAAATATAATCAAATTCAAGTGCGTCTAGCATATGCCAAGCGAAACAAAAAAGGAGGATCAATATAAAATATATTTTGAATATTACCATACAATTTGTATAGTTCACCACGCGTATTGATACGATGCATGTTCTTGCTTATATTTGGTTCCAAATATGCCCACGAAATTCTTCTCCAGTTTCCACACACAAAAACTTGCTTTTCTTGTATTATAAGAACTATTCCATTTTACTAAGCTAAGAGTATTATTAAATATTCACTCACGTAACTGAGAGATTAATAAATTTACTGGTATGAAGTACGTAACATCTCATTTAAAATTCTACTTGTTGACTCTGCCCGTACAATATGCACTTTTTGATGTTGCAAAAAAGTGGGCTTCATATTTAAATTGTTCCAGGTCAATGTATGTTTAATGGACGCAGAAGATTATAGTGCACTCCCAGCAAGCCAATGGGAAGAAGACAATATTTTGAGAGAACTAAACAAGAGTCTTTTGGCTTTCCACCAGTCACCAACTAAGACTCGAGATTCTAAACATGATAGAAGATTATCCCCTATTGGTATATTACTAATTTTTGACTTAAAATTATAATATAAATAAATAAAAAGGAACCGCAAAATATGTTGCTAAGCGCTGAGACGGCTGGACCAATTCGAGTATTTTTATTTATTCCTTGAAGAAAGTAAGGAAGTGAGGAAAGTATTAATGGAGAGAAAAATTCGTAAAAAAAATATAAAAATTTAGTTTTAGTTAGTACTTAGTTTTGTCTTTGATTGACATAACCTTTACACATTTAAAGAAAAAACTTTTTACCGGATTAAAGTTATGTATTATTATAAATTTACAATTATTTAACATAATTTTAAATTTATCCGACGTTTCGCGTGCTTTACAGCGTGCGTGGTCACGGTGACTTAGTACTTAGTTTTTTTTTTCGAAAAAGCGAACAGTCTCTATGGGGTAAATGTTCCATATGTTGGTAAGTAGCTACTAAAGGCAGGTAAATAAATATCAAATTAAGGCGAAACGAAGTTCGCGGTAGCTATAAACAAATAAAAATTATTTTTAAATTATTCGTTTGTTTAATCCAGCAATAATAACGGGTTGGCATAGGTTAGAGCCTAGAAATAAGAAACTATAACTATAGATTAAGCTTGGTGCGTTTCGTTTCATTGTGATTGGTCAAGCGTATGACGGAACGATTCGCATGTCTTTGATTGGATAAGAGACGGGCCGTGCTTCTATTTTCGTGTTCCATTCTCACTCCTATGAAGGTTCAGCTGGTTAATTACGATGGTTATCAAGTACTCGTGTACGTCAATAAGATGATTTAAATTTTATGGACACATCTATAAAATTGTTATAGTTACCTAACCATATTTGATTCCATTCAATGATTCCTATAATATTATATTAACATAAGAATATTAAATAATCATCGGACGTCCAGGCAGCATACGAACGATGCATCAGTGGTTCCTATAATATTATATTAACATAAGAATATTTAATAATCATCGGACGTCCATGCAGCATACGAATTCCACCTGTATCACCTCGACGTCCGCCGTTCCACAACTGAGCGATTATTAAGGCAGTTTTTGCCGCGTACTACAACTATGTGGAACCAGCAGCGCACTGAAGTATTTCTGAACCAATTCGACTTAGGGTCCTAATTCTTAAAAGGCCGGCAACGCATTTGCGAGTGGCAATGTGAATGCCTGGGGGAGGCAGTATCACTTAACATCGGATGAGCCTTCTGCCCGTTTGCCGTTATATAAAAAAATAGAATTCCGAAATATTAATTTGTTTCACTGGTGTCGTGTTTAATAAAGTTGAAAGTTTTCCAATCCAATTTATAATTAGTCCTTTATGATATGGTTAAGAAATTATAGCTAAGACATGTATATTGGAAATTAATCGCGATTAATTAACGTTGTTGGAAGTGGGAAGAAAAATGGAAGTTCAGCGTTAGTAGTTTCATAAGTTATATTTATGGTATTTGTCTTACAGGTGAATCTTTTAGCCTGTCACCAACAGACGTGGAAGCGACTGTCATGATAAAACAAGCGTCTTCGTGCAGTACGATTAACAGTGTAAACAGCAGAAGTCCATCACCTCAGAACTATTGTGCTGCAACGCTTAATTTGAATGATCCCAGTGAGTTATACATTAAGTTTATTGTCTATATTATTTTTATAGCATAGAATATGGTGAAGTGGCTGAATGGAGAGCGAAATGTCTCAACTGCGTATGAATTAAAAAAATTGCCAGGAAAAGGGCAACTTATTAAGTTTTTTCAACGGATTAGGTTTTTTTAAAGAACAGGGGCAAACGGGGAGAAAGCTCAGCTGATGTTAAGTGATACCGCCGTCAATAACAAAGGGGTCGCGAGCGCGTTGTCGGCCTTTCGAAATTATCGCAATTAATAAATTTTTGGTACGTTCCAATAATTTTTGGTACGTTCCATAAATTACATTTTGCGCAATCTTTTTTAAATTAAATCTTTGGAATAGATATTTTGATATTTTATACATTAAGATTATTAATGAGATATTTTTTTTAGGTTTAGAACTTCAAAAGCAAAAATGCTGGTTATCCCCCGATGCGGGTACATTAAATAATCGTCGCGGTAGATTTATTGTACTTGGATCGTCTGGGGAGTGTTTGCCCGTTACGAGAAATTCTGGACTTCAGACAGCTGAAACTCAGGAAGACAGTCTTTATTCCAGCTGCAATTCTAGCGATGATGAGTTCCATAGCGCGAATAGCAGCTTTGATGATGGTAAGTTTTGTGCTTACGGTCCTTAGAAGATCTTCATGTCTGTAATACACATACTTCCTTTGAGTCCCGATACATTGTTAGATATATAAACTTTGCTGATCAGTTTTACAGTGTTTTAGTACCATCCCACTTCGGGGACATGTTCGAGTCAATTCGTAAATAACCGAACTCAAATGAGTAACTATTGTACATGCGCACTTGTAGCAAGATTCTTAAGAATATGTTTCATAAAAAATGTTTAGAATTTAATTAAATAAATATTAAAAGCTAACAATATGAACACGTTACTTTTAGCAGGTAGTGAAGACGAAGGTCGAGGCGAAAGTGGTCGACCAAATTCATTCCAGTATTCAAAAGAACTGTCCACCGAGGAAAGGAGATTGAGTTTCGCCTCTCGCCTTAGAGACGCGCTTAAGAGAGAGGCAGAAACCTCTTGCACGACCAGTACCACGGGAGACTGGTCAACAGATAGTTCCAGTTATGCAGTTGGTGTCAGTATATCGGGGGCTGAAGTTAATGACAATGATATTAGGTATGTATTTTACTGTATGTACCATTTTCATAAGTTTTGGATTGGTGAAAAATAAACAACAATGGTACGGACATAGACGGGTGTCCTCTTTGGGTCTCGTAACTAGAAAAATTCTATCAGATGGTTCTAGCCAAACTTTGCGATTCACATAATTGATATTTCTTGTAATTCCAGCTTATTTATTCGAATACACTCACGAACTCGTCTTGTAGGAGATCAGAGTCCTACATTTCGGATTTGCAGAAGCAATTTAAAATCATCATCATACTATTAATAGAAAGATAAATAGAAGTTCTCAGGGGCTAGCGACAAAATCATTTTGCACAGGCGTTACCCACTAACGATAAAAAAAATATGTGAAAATGGTCACGTGGCAAATCGTGAGCTAATCTGACATTGCTTTCAATAGGAATAATACATTTTTATATTCACTGTATTTACCCGCAACACAGGGCTTCCCAAGTGTAGGGACTGGCTTCTGAATAATTTGAAACACCTATAAATTACTTTTAAAAAATGATGATAAGATGTTATTGTAAATAGCGCCATCTAGCGGAAAGTGACACACACTTTATTTTCAGAGTGAAACGCGGTGGTTCTGTAGGTTTCGTTTTAACTGAGGAGGAAACAGTTGAAAATCGCAAACCTCCTAGGCGTTTACTGTCAAGAAAGGAAACCGGAAACAGTTCGAAATACAGCTTCAGCACAGAATACACGTACGTATGACGTCATATCCTTTTGAACGTTATAGATTTTATAAAGAAAACTTTTCTACAGGTCCGAATTAGAAGAGGTTTACGAACAATTTAACCATTGGTTGAATGACCCCATTGTCGATAGTGAAGGCGATAGCAAAAATAGGGAGCTCGACTCGAGAGACTTGGCAGTAATACGGTAGGATTTATTTTATATATACTTATACATGTGTAGATTACAAAAGTTACATTATAAATGTGTTCATTCATTATAAAATGCATTACAATGTGTAAGATTTGGGAACCATTTTAAGTAAAATACCTGTGTCAGGGTTCCCAGCTCTTCAATAACAAACTTAATAATTAATTAAATGACATAGTTAATAACTTTTTGCTTGTTTTAAATTAAAATTTTGACTTTTTTTTAAACTGTTTCAAACAACTTCTACCATTTTTTAACAAAAAGCATAACGCGACGCATAATACGCGTGAGTGCATGAAAGAGTGCGTAGTTGACATGTGAGTGAATGAGTGAGGTGTAATATGTATGAATAAGTAAGGTCTCAGTATCAGTATCATTCGGTGACTAAACAAAAGGGGTTAGTAACATTAACTAAGGTCCAACATCCAACGAACACCACCAACATGCATTATAAAAGTTATGTATTTATGTAAACTAAACCTTTCTTTACAAAGTAGTTTTCAATGTAAACGCTTCTGTATAACTTACGGCACAAAAGAAAACAAAAAAAATAACAGGCCCCCTATTTCAGCTATTGCAGGATCTTTTTTTGTAAACGAGTTAGATATATCACTAAGCGAGTCCGTAATGGCAAGTGGTATAGACTGGAGTATTAGCGGAAATAAAAGAAAATCCAACGAACACCACCAACATGCATTATAAAAGTAATGTATTATGTAAACTAAACCTTTCTTTACAAAATAGTTTTCAATTAAACGCTGTATTAAAAAAAACAAAAACCTATTTCAGCTTTGCCGGATCTCTTCTCAAAGAACACTAAGCGGTAGGCAAGTGGAGTTGGATTAGGAGCGGAGCCTCTATGGAAGAAGTGTATAGGGTTCCACTAATCTGACGATTTGTCAGTCGACTTGGAAAAAAACCGGGAGTTTGGCTGCACAAAGTTGTAAAAAAAAAATCATCTGTACAGTTTTCTAGCTTTTAAGCTAATTTTTAATTTTATTTTGAAGGAAATAATTCCATCTGAATGATTAAAAATATGTAATCTGACGATTTCCGCAAGCCGAATCATAACTATATCACTCGTCGATAAAGTCTGATATAAGTGCAGCTGCGTTACATGCCTACATTTCCTTAAACAACGATCGGAATCTTATTAAACGGAGTTCAAAATATTTCCCTCAAAATTACATTTCCTGTGAATTTGAACCGATTACGGCACCCATAGATCCTGAGTAAATTTTGAAAAATCTATAAAATAATTAGAAATATTTTTTTTGTAAGTTGTTTCTGATTATCGACTCAAGCCTTCAAAAAACTGTATCCGGCTTATGATCTTGAAAAACCTTTATTTCGATTCGCCACCAAGCTAGTCAAAAGATACGGTTGATTCGTTCGAGAGATATCGTACATGAAAAAACCCGAAAAAGTGTTTTTTGGGATTACTCCGAAATTTTTGGTTACGATCAATTAAAATTGCAAATATTACTTATGAGAATGATAAATACATTCGTTTCGAATGCCGCCAACCACGTGAAAATTGCTTGATCCATTCAAAAGTTATTGCGGTTTGAAAATTCCAAAAATATTGTTCTATGAAACTTCGATCAGACTTTCGATCTGGGAGAGCTCAAATGCATAGAAATGTTATTGGCTTTGAACTCAGCGAGCTCAAAATATCAATATGTTAAGCGCCCAGGCATGGAATTTGCGGGAAGTCTGCAGGGATGGCCCTATTAGGTGAACCGTTTTTCCTGGTTTTATTTGTCAGATCAGGCGTAAATCCCTATAAGAATAATACCGACGAGATTATTAGAGAGTACGTTTAGAACATAAAGATGAACCACATATATCTTAATCGTGACGCGCTTGAGTATTTCAAAATTGCGATTTTTTTTTGACGAATTCAGAAATGCTGTGGGTTTGCGTCCCATCCTAGTCGTCAGGATTAGTGAATGAGAGCTTTTTTTTGGGTGCACTTAACACTCCTTGAGAAAATCGACGCAAACGTTGATTTTTAATTTGTTACTTAATTTTAAACACTTAAATACTACCACCCGCATCATGCAAACGATCAGATTAATCTTACGTACATTATTAAAAATACGTAACGCATAGATCCTATCACATTTCTGACGCGCTCGAGGAAGTCCATGCAACAGTTTGAGTCGGTTTTTACATATTTAACTATCCTAATAGCCGCTTCCCCAGCACCGATGAATATGAATTTATCATATAGCATTTTTTTCGTCTTTTTCTTAACTTAATTTCCCAAAAGGTCGATCTACAGACGCTCGCGTAGACCCCCATTTAGCAACGTGGGCCCCCCTACCATAAAGTAATGTTCGCGATCTAGGCATATAATTTTTCACGTGCAAGTCTTCCAGATTAGGTTTCTAAAGTCAAGGTGCTTTTATAGCGTAGGCGAAGATTTGGACTGTAAATTTGACAACAATTGATTATAAATAGCTTGACGTCATTTATCATGACATTACGTTAATGTTTTTATGTATATGACATAGCAAACATGTATGACATTTGCATGCCAATTTGGTATATGGCTGATTGTCCGGATATAAAAAATAAATGATGTGGAATATAGAATCACATAAGGTTTGAGTAATATAGTAAAATTCCAATTGTTAATGATGAAAGATAAATTTGCACGCCATTATATGTGGCAGAATATGCGGAGTCTAAGATTGTACAACCATAAGATTTTTATACCATATTCTTGCAAATAAATGATTATGATTATGATTAAACTAATTTTGCAGGAGTTTCAAGTAGGAAATTTGAAAGGAATCACTTTTTAATTTCGTACAAAATATAATTACACATGTGAAATTATCTTTTTTTATATATAGAATACTAATTAAAAACAATATATTACCTAATTAAAATTTACAAATTGCTGGTCGCTTTCTATTAAATTAGCATTTTGCAAACAAAATTAAAACATGAGAAAATGGTCTAAACACTGGCTAGAAGAACAAAAAACAGTCACGGTCCTAACATTGCCTCCACACATCCGATTATCATAACCGATTAAGCGTGTATGCCGATGGCATTTGCCTTAAGTTAGTTTAACATTTTAGTTAAACGAATTGGCCAACAAAATCGTATCTGGCGGATCATGCAAGCCAGTGGCAACTGGAAACTGGGGTTGTGGATCGCGTCAACGTGGGCATCCCCAATTGAAGCTTCTCTTACAGTGGCTGGCTGCTAGCGTTGCTGGGGTGCCAGCACTTTTCTATTATACGTTTGGAAACGAAAATCTGTTTAAGGTACGTATATAGAAGTCAATTAGATGTTCTTATAAGAAAACAATGCAATACAGAGCAACAGGAGATCAAAAATAGTTGGTTAATATTTTCATAGGTCACTTTTTCTTTATAATCAAGTAGGTCTGTTTCTTTGTAGTCAAGTCTGACGCACGGTTGAGTTATACCCAATTTCATATATTATGTTTTTCTTTCTGGGTCTAAAGTCCAAACACACATTAGAGTTATTAACGGCACACTATTACTAATTTATAACGTGTATATGTAATTTTTTTATTTAGACATGTCCTCTTTTAATGCGTTTAAATTATATTAATAAACATTTTTATTTCGATTATACCTTACAGCTGGACACATTGGTAAGAGTGCTGGTGGATCGAAAGTGGACAGTGGGCCAACTTGCAAGAGCGATGTTAAAATTTTCACGTCAATATCTTCACGAACATCACGTCATTCCCGATAATCACACGTTGTTTGATGAACTCATAGGAATCGAGAAGATACCGGATGATGATTAATCTACAATTACATAATTTTAATTATTTTTGGCCATTATGAAATATGGTTCAAAATGGCGGATTAATGCGATGTTTGAAGCTCCAACAATGCAATATTATAATTTTGTAGTAATTTTAATAAATATTGGAACTTCGAAAACTGTGGCGTTACTGTTAACTAAAATGGCGGGATCTTAAAAATTGGCGCCATAACATGTATTCGTATAGCAACTGCTTTACTATATTTTTGTTTTAATTTTGGCTTGTGTTGGAATTAGCCTAGGGGGCATGCACTGTTCCACCACTGCAGGGAATATTATTTTTAACGACTAATAACGATTTGATGATTTATATTCATAAATATATTTGCGATTTAATTTTAATACCCTAAGATCTGATTATTAATATTATTAATTTGTATTAAAATCGTTTCGGTGCTAAAGTATATGCAAATATGTTGCTGTATACAATTTGCTACAAAGTAGCATTTCAAAATTTATTAGTATTTAATTATTTTTCTACATAATCATTTTTTTTCACAGATTATGGAATACTCTTAGATTTTTCTGTGTTGTCCTATTTTTATTTCAAATTATTGTTTTTATGGTTGGGCTATTCGAATACTTTAAATATTGCAATTTCGATGCATTTACGAGTCAATAGGAAATGAAGTTAATATGTACATAAATATCAAAAGTATTTAGCATAGGAACACATTGATAATAATATAGCTAATGGCAATAGTAATTTAAGACATCTGTCATTAACAATTATAAGCAATATTAAGTTTGATCGGATTTCAGGATATTTTTGTACAAATATGGAATTATAAGGGGACACTCTTAAAAATACTCTTTGCACTTGTATTTTTAGCACAACATACTTACATTGGATTTTCAATTGTTACTGTTAAAGATATCTTATGATTTTTTGTTTATCTCGTTAACATTTTGTTTGTTTAAGCAGAAAAGTCTTCCATAGCATGGTTCTCAATGTGTCCAAACTTTAATAATTTATGTAATCATTTATAATACAAAAGATAAAAGAAAAAAGCAGTTTAATTTACCTTACTACTTCCCATGACGATTACATTTTAAAGAAAAATCCAACACTATTTATTTATTTATTAAGGTTACATGTATATATTTTCTAATTAACAATATTGGGTTTTATTCTAGCATGCAATCTAATAATAGGTGTACTTACACAACATTGACTCTAATAAATGATAGCGGACAGAGTTTACTTAAGTATTTGTATCTTTAAACATAAATAAATTGAAACGTGGAAAATATTACATGACTTATGGCTGAGATGACTGAATTTTCTTCTTAAAACTAGGAAGTGAGTCATAATACACGTCAAGACTAAGGGTGGGTTGCATCAACAAATTTTGACGGACACGTAACCGTTAAATATGGCGCTAACGAACGTTAGACAAAAAAAGTGTTGATTCACCATCTATGACAGCTTACGTTCGTTAAAAAGTTACGCTTACGTTAACCAGTGCTTGAACCATTGGTAATCGTCAAATTTTGGTTTGTAACTTCGTAGTTCGTACTTCCTAAACTCTGTTTCCTCTGAATTTAATATTAGAGATGGTTTGATTAATAATTATTTTGCAAGGTATGTTAATACTACGATTATTCTTGACTTCAAAAATAAATTGCAAATTTAATATTAAAGATGTCCTATATTTCAGATTATAACTTTTTATGGCATGGGTGTATGGGTGGTATGGTGAAGGACTAAGATATTCTATACTGTTTATATTGCTTATTGCATGCCTTTGGTAAAGAAATAAAATATTTGTCAAAAATAATATGCCTTTACTAACTGAATTACAGCCTACAGATTTTATTAATTTAGACCAAAAGTTAACTTCATTGAAAACAAACAGAAAACTAGTTTTCTCTTAATTTAATTTTATACTAATATGCGATTTACATAGTTTAATTATTATTATTTTGCAAGGTATGTTAATATTTAGATTATTTTTAACTTCAAAGAAAACAAATCTCAAATTATAATTTTAAGCTCTTTTTTTCAGATTATAACTATTTTATGGTATGGATGTGAAATATGGTGAAGGATTAACATAATATATTGCTATTGCATGCTTTTGGTGGGAAATAAAATGTTTGACAAAAATAATATGCCTTTTTATTACCGAATTAAAACATTACATAGTTATGCCTGCCTATGCACATAAGAATTAATTCATCTATCTATTTTTTTACAGTTTTTATTATTTTTTTACACTAATTTTATAACATTGATACACACAACTGCTTAATTATTTTGAAGAGCATTTTATACTAAGTTTCAAGTAATTCTGATCAAGTTATAGTAAGTTTATTTTTTATTGTAAAGGTAAATAAGTACCACTTTTCATACATTTTACATTAGAAATGGCGCTTTCATACAATCTTACATCCTTTTAGTATAATTAATAGTAAGTATTTTTTTTCTTGTAGTTTAAAAATGATTTCATCGTTCTTCCTCTTCTCATTTAGATGTTGAACACGCAACTCAAAAATTTTCTTTTTCATATTTATTATCTGAAAGGGCATTAAATTCTGCACGAATCGCACTCCATGCCCTCTTTTTTTGCAAATTGTTAGAAATGTCTGTCTTTTTATTAAATAAGATGTGTTTATGTTTTTCTATTAAATTTCTAAATCTGTCCTTCTCTTCTTTTCCAAAATTTACCGAACGTTCTCTGAAAGTCAATGAGTAACGTAAATAAATACACTTCTAACTACATATATCTTTCAATATAATATATATACTTTGCGCATATACAATTCATGCAATATAATAATAAAATAATAGCTTTATACTTACTTTGGCGAAAAGGTTCCCATTATTTATATTAAAATTAAACACTTTTTAAAATTATCCTTTCGTACACAAGTCACAACAATAAACATCGATGTCAAACTTGACAGAATGTATCAAATGACATTGTTTTTATCAATGTTGTTATTACTAAAAATATTCCCATAAAACATTAGGTCAAAATAGCGTTACGCAAACAGGCAACCCCATTAACAATGACGAACTCATTTTTTAACAATGAAGCAACGCTAACAAGTTAACAGACGTTAAAGTTCATACGTGTCTGTCAAATTTTAACGAACGTAAGTTACGATAGCAAATGGTTTGAAACAACCCACCCTATGTCTACAACTACATTGGTTAAAATTCCTAAGCATTCTACTGAGGGGCGCATGTTTACCTAGATTGGTTAAGGACTGTGGAACGACAAAAGTATCAGTCTGTCTTCTTCTTGCGTTGATTCTAGGCACTACGAAGTAAATCTTTTTTAAAATATCTGGACAAATAATCGTGCCGTGCATCAATTTGTACAAAAACACCAGGTCCACAATCATACGACGATCCTCGAGAGTTTGCAAATTGAACTTCTGTAATCGATCAACATAATCCCTTCTGTAGCAAAATTTAGGGGTTTTGTACGCCAGGAACCGTGTGAATGTTCTTTGAGGACGTTCTAGTATGCACTTGTGTGTTTGGTATGTGGGATTCCACACAACACTAGCGTACTCAAGGTGGCTGCGCACCAATGCATTGTACAGAACAATAAGAGTTTTAACATTCTTAAAGTCAGTGGTATTACGCCTAATGAAACCGAGCATCTGAAATGATTTCGCTATAATTATTTCGTAGTGAGGAGTAAAACTGAGAGCACTATCCAGCGTCACACCAAGGTCACGTATTCGATCAACCTCCTCAAGAGCAACTCCATTAATTCAGTAAGAAGATTGGAATAAGTTAGGCCCGAGGTGAGAGCCCTGAGGCACGCCCGAAATTGCCACATACGGATTTGATGCATAACCATTTGTCACCACTGTTGATGATCTGAATTTAAGGTACGATGCAAACCAAGAATGTAAGGATCCGCAAACACCAAATGTAATTAATTTTTTTAATAATATATGGTGACAAACTTTGTCAAAGGCGCTACTAAAATCAGTATATATCGCATCTACTTGTATCCGCTTATCAACATGCTCCATGAGAGTTGTAACATAAGGAACCAGGTTCGTAGACACAGATCTGCCGCGCTGGAAACCATGCTGTCTCACACTTATCATAGGTTTAACGTGATAAGTGAGAATTTCACATGTAACTGATTCAAACAATTTTGAAAACGTGCTCAGAATCGAGATAGGTCGGTAGTTTTTTTACGCTTTCCCTTTCACCCTTCTTATATACTGGGATAATACGTGCTTCTTTCCAAATAGTAGGAAATATTCCTTTGTCCAAGGAAGAATTAAAAATAAGAGTAAGAGGGAAAGCGAGCTCGGCAGCACACCTCTTCACGAAAAGGGGTGGTAGACCGTCTGGCCCAGCCCCTTTGTGGATCCAGTTTTTTAAAGCCTTTAGTATGGTTGCCTCTTGGAAACTATTTTGCTTAATAATAGGTTAGCCATGATATAATCAGGATGGGTATAAGCAGAGGTAGTACTATTATTCAGTTCGTAGACATCGTTATTAAAAGTCGATGAAAAGTGTGTGGCGAACAAATTTACTATTTCATTGCCCGTTGAGCCAGTCCCACTGTCATGTTTCATGAGCGATGGCAACGCATTTGAATTTTTTCGTCTTTCACTGAGGTATTTCCAGAATTTTTTGGGATCTTTATTTATGGCCTCCTCTGTGTTACGTATATAGGCCAAGTAACACTCTGAGTAATGCTTATTACATCGTTTGCGTAGAATTTTGTACTCAAGTTCATCACGGGGGTTATTGTACTTACGTGACCGACGCCTAAGTTTATTCTTTTCCGAGAATAATTTTCGAAGTGAATTATTAAACCAGGGTGGGTAATTATGAGATTTTCGATGAAATTTAGGAACGTGTTGTTCGATTATACTATTAATATGTTCATAAAAGATTTCAGTCATCTCATCAATACTATTTGTCACAGAGAAAACGAGACGCCAGTCGATCCCACGCAACTCTTTAAATATCATCTAATAATCAGCCCGGTAAAAATTAAAACCAATGTGCGGCAACTTCGGCAGAAACGCGACTGTTAAATCCAGAACAACAAACAACTGAGGGTGATGAGCATCAAGCTTACTTAAAAGATCCACTGGCCTCTCGAGTGTTGCGTTAGCCACATTTGTGAATACTAAATCTAAAGTTCTATTATTAAAGTTTTTAACATAGTTCAATTGCTTTAAGTTAACAAAATCTACCAACGCATATCCAAGAGGGTATTCATAATTTGTTGGTAGGACTGTATCAAGATTGTCATCACGAGACCAAGATATATATGGCAAGTTAAAGTCACCAGCAATCACTACTGCATCCAGTGACTGTATGACACTCGTTGCATTAGCACAAAAACATTCTAGAATATCCTTCGTTGGATAAGGAAAATAGGGACAGCAAATTCCAACTCTTTTCACGTTTGAGTGAGGTGCCTCGATATCCAACAGGACCCAGATGTCCTCACATGATGTTTCCCATGCTTGCATTCGTACAGACTTAATGGTATTTTTCACAGCAATAAGCACGCCACCACCTCCGTCCATCGGTATTCTGTCTCTTCTGTAGACAGTATATCGTCGGTCAATAAACTCATAAGTACATATACTAGGCTCAAGCCACGTCTCCGTCATTATTATGATATCGAAATCATGTTTTTCTATTTCTTGACGAATTGCATTTGTCTTCGTACGCATACCTCTAATGTTTTGGTAGTAAATATTTAATCCTGCCATTGGATCTATAGAACTGTTTTAATGTATGGGCAGGAAGTAATTAACTAATAAGCTTTAGACTTTCCAAGCTACGAATGCAAACAGCTATGTAACACGTACACACGTATTAACTAGTTTATGCCAAGTGACAGAAATCGGCAATTTCAGAGACTAATAAATAAAGTGTAATTAAAAATACAAATAATAATTAATAAATTACAGAAATTTAATTTTAAAATACTGTGCACTACATAAATATTTTTTTTTATATATTTAAAATTTCTCACGTCTATTTTATTCATTCATCATTCATTTATGAATGAATAAATTTTTCATCAAATCTTTTCTCTATAATAAAATTTAAAACAATAGGAACTATACTACTGAAATAATATTTTCTTAACTTGGCCAAAGCCCGGTCTACAACGCCCAAGCTCAGCCATAGAGCGGGCGTACACGGACTGCTCGAGCAGTTAACGGCTGACCGACGTACAGGGACCGCTCGAGCGGTCGGCGTTGACTGCTTGAGCAGTCGGTTGTTGACTGCTCGAGCGGTTGGTAGAGAGTTGAATTTCTACCGCAGTCTAGTCATGGATTCTGACGAGGAAGCACTGCTTCTGCTCAAGCGGAGACGACGTCAAAAGAGAAAATTTTGGGTTCATCCAATTTTGGAATTAAGAGAACAACATGGACAATTCCATCATTTGCTTATGGAACTTAGATGTGATGAAGAAAAATTTTTCAACTATTTTAGGATGTCAGTGTCTTCGTTTGATGAAATGAATAATATACTAAGGTCTAAAATTAAACGTGAAGACACAATCATGAGGAGAAGTATCCAAGCAGAAGAAAGACTAGCAGTAACATTGAGGTTCGAAAAATAAATAACAATTATTTAAATTTTTATTCATTAAAAATATTGGAAAATAATTCATCAGACATTACTGAAGATGATGACTAGACGCCGCGAGGCCAGAAGAGAAGGGAGGGGGAGGTCGTAGAGCTGTCGACTGCTCTAGAGCCGCCGACGGCTCGAGCAGTCAGTGTATGCCTCGCGACTGCTCGCGAGCGGGTCGACAGCACGATGGAATTTCATCATGTAGTTGACGGCTTGAAGCGGTCGCGACTGCTCGAGCAGTCGGTCATAACTGCCTGAAGCAGTCCGTGTACGGCTGGCCATAGAGCTTGGAATTTATTTCGGATTTCTTTCTAAAGTATTGTTGAATACAGCTAGGTTCCACAATACAACCCAGTCACAATTGGGACGTGTTGCTAAGTAACGTAGAGCGTAAATATCCATAAACTACAAATGAAACTAAACAGACTCGTAACGTTTTATTGGAAGTTTCAGTACACAATATTCTAAAAAATTACAGCAACATGAGAACTTTATCCTAAGAGTAAACGGGCGTCAACCATTTTGGCCAATATCCCAAGATGTAAAAAAGTCATAATGTACTTCTTGACTTGTCAATTTTAACAACATGTTACATATCAAAGAATGATCATAATAGTTTTTTATCTGCGCTCTTTCATAAACGAACTATAACACCCAAATTTATTATTTAATAATTTTTATGTTTGAATATTGCATTTAGATTTTAAACAATGTAAGTTTTTGTTCTAAAAAATTACGATAGCGGTAATTTACGGACCACGGATAGAAATAAATCGGTAGTTTCTAAGCCGTGACCACTATTAAAGCAATATTTATAACTTTAATTGTTTTTTTGTGTGTTTAAGGATTTTTATAATGCACGAAAATTTTGGGCATGGTAAAATCAATGGGCGAGAACCAAAATGAGGTATCTAATTAATACAAGGAATTTAGTTGCATTGTAAAATACATGATACTACAAATTTTGGTCATAGTGGGTTCAGATCGCTTACAATTTGTGAACATTCTAGATGTTCGCATATTTGGTACCTATAAATTGAAAGTCTAAAAAATAAATTTAAATAAGTGTCATCTTGAAATACAGCCACAAAGCCACAGAAAATGTTATCAACTCGTAACTAACAGATTAAAAATTATATCGTTCTAAGATCTCTCCACTTGGATCTTCTGTATCTCTTATAACAAAAAGTAAGCAAATTTATAAAAATTGAATCAGCTTTTTAGTGTTTAGTACTTATTTTTCGTTCATAGGACTCATATTAATCGTTTCTTGGCTGAAGAAAATGCATTTTAGACCTTGTCTACACAGTGATCAAATCAGATTTTGAAAATATTGTAAAACCTGGATCATAAGTGAGTGCTTGTAATTGGTACTATATTTTTCCATATTAAAGAATGGTATCTATGGCAACAAATATCGCTCTACGTCCTCGATTTATAAGTCTGTCACTAATTTAGTTTATATGAACAAAAATACCTGAGTTAAAAGAAGAAATTTTCTAAAAGCTTCCACTTATGTTCAAGACTTAAGCTTTATATCTATTTATATAATTTAAAGTTTATAATATGATTTTTTTAAAGTAAAATCCTTCATATACAGGACTTACACATTTTAAACAACAGACATGAACGAAATAAAACTGTTGCAAATAAATTGATTGATGACAATTTTCTGTGGCTCTTAGCGTCCCCCCTAAAAGAAAAGACCCCTCATGCGCCGTCCCACACCCTGTCTGTCATACATCACATTGAATCTATTCACTAACTGGTTGATAGCGTTACATCCCTTTGTGATTGTACCCAGGTAGGTCATGAGCGCCACATCGTTGCATTGCTGAAGAAAATACATAACATTAACAATGGCAAAAGTTATGTGTACATACTTGATAACTGGTATTTTATAGTGATATTCTATGTTTTATAGTTTTTATTAAAATGTTCAGTTCTTTAAAGTTTTGCATATAGTAATATAACTAAGTATATTTTTTGAAGTTATACTTCTTTAGGCGCGTTATGAAAAATTGATGAGAGTGAAATTTTACGATGCGCGCGCACCGTGATACAAAATTAACAGAATAAACTTGCCCACGGAAGATGCTACGGCATTGGACATCATTTAAAAACAACATTCGAATAATAATAGAATTTATGTTACACTTTATTTATATATTTAATTTTTCAAATGTAAACTGAACTTTATTGACTATAATGACTTCTTTTCCAGTCTTTGATTATTTAATTGTAATTAATTATTTGCATGCAATCAAAAACTATTTTTAATAATACCAAAGAAGTATAACTTCTTACGCGCGTATATAAGTACACACACCCTTTTTTTGTGAGTGAAAACTGCAATTATTACATTATTACTAGCATATTTTCTTTGTAAAGATTTATTATTACTATGTGTAAACTTTAAACTATAATATCAAATTACTTACATTATAGAAATGTGTGCGAAACTGTTGTGATGTGAGCAAAGGCAGGCGATTTGCTAAAGCTCGCGCTTCTCTAAGTAACGCTGGTCTTGGAGGCAAAGTACCATCCCTAATTGCCCGTACTGTGCTAAGCACTGCTCTTACTCTGGAGACTAGCATTTTTATAGCTGACCGCTGGGCTGTTAAGTGGTCCGCGACTATACAAAACATGAATTTTGGGTTAATATCAGCTTAAATTCTATATAAGAATCATAAATAGTAGAACAGTTTTGTAAACTAGGTGATAGTTTACAAAACTTTTTTTTTAATATTGAGGAAATATAACTTAATTGGTATTAAAACAAAAGAAAAAGCCTTTTAAATTATGTAGGATCCTTATGTTAATATAATTAAAATAAATTTATTTATTTTTTTAGCTTTTTGCATTCAGCCACACAGAAAAAATAAATAATAAACAATCAAGTGATTCATAAAATAGATGTATTTATCTTTAATCTTACCTAAGCTGTTAAATGCTCCTTCACCAGATGATACCCTAGCTACATGATCCACTCCAATTCTCTCAGCTTCTTCAGCAGCCAAAGTATATGTAAGTGGAGCGAGTAACATTGTTGCTCTTCCGTTCACCACATCTATTACTGATTCATATAGATCTACCGGCAGTTGCTGAAAACATAATAATTTAGCGTCTTATAGCCCATTTGTTTTAAGGTAAAACCTTATTCAAGGATATGTTTGTACTGTCTCTGAAAAGGGTCAAATTCAATCACAATATTGTGACCAAAAAAAATAATAGTAACTTAGTACAAGATTTGTATGGAAGCAATGGCAATAGGTCGTCAATTGAACATTCCCTATTGTTTTAAAGCCAGTGAACTAGTATACAGTGTAAACTCTATATAACAACACTCAAGGGACTGTGCCTATTTTGACGTTACAAAGAGTTGCCGTTAAATGGAAAGAAAAATCTGTATTAGAAAAAGAAAGTTTATTTCAGACTAGTGTTAGAAATTACATCAAAACAATTCGTATTTGAACGCTTTTGCGTTGTCTGTCGTTTTTGTACTGTACCAGTACTTAGGTTGTATTTTTTTTACTTATTTAATTTATATCTTGCGATATTGAGGCATCTTCGTGATAAAGCACAAGCAAGCAAGCTGAATTTGTAAACAAAATGAACAGATACCTTAGTACCGACAGTCGAGTTTTTTTCTCGCTAAGACAATAAAGCGACAAAACAATGTACACAGCTCCGCAGTTTTAACTAATTTCGGCAACTTAAAAAGTTGTTGTTATTGAGGGTGGGTGTAATGCTATGTAGAGTGTATCATTGTATGGGAGACAAGCTAAACCAACCAAAGCCGAGTGATTTCGATGCATTAGGGAGTCTGTCGTTAAATTGAGAGACATTGCATGGAGTTTACACTGTATTTAATAGTGTCTTTGCTTTACACATGTAATTAAATTTTAAAATCTTAGTAGTATTTACCTCACCATTCCTGCCACCTGGGTGTAGCATTAACATAACAGGACATTCATTAATATCACAAATTTGTCTGTGTACTGCAATGTCCCTTTCAGTTGGAGTCTCGCCAGTTGTATACCAACCCAGGAAATCCATTTCAGAAAATACTTGTTTAACTGTAACAGGTATGATAAAGGATAGAAAATGTTTATCTATGAAAACTTGTTTGTAAAATTCTTCATTCTTAAGCAAATAATGAAAATAGCATTAAGTATTTAGACATGAATTACGAAAATGGAAGTACTAAATTTTTGAAACATGTGCAGACATGACATTAGAAATGCTATATAATTGGGCTTGTAATCAACAAGTAGTTTAGAATGATTTTATCCTCGACAAGTAACTCCCGTGATTTATCAACAAATTAAAAACATGAGTAAAGTGATTGGTAAATGAATTTTTTTATATAGATACACATATCTCCAAGAGCTCATGGAAATAAAGCTTTCCTACATAAAAAGATGAATGTGTATGCTATCATTTAACTTACATTGTTCTTCCTTTAAATTATAGTAGTCCCTGTCAATAACAATATCCCCTTCAATAACACTGAATACTAGTTCAAATGAATTCATTACTTCAATATTTCTTCCTTTTTGTTTGCCTATTAGTGCCCCAACCACTGAAAATAGTAATAACTCATAATATATAATACACTTAAACATCATTATAAAAGGTAAAACTGGAAAAAAAATAGAGATAAAGACAAAAGAAAACTTCACATTAATTTATAAGTTATAAAATGTATTGTTCTTTTTCAGATTTACATATATTAATTGGATAGAGCTAAAGTTATATATAAGGTACAGTCTACACAAAAATCTAAACGAATGTGTCCACTTTCATCAAATAAACTAACCTCATAATGTCGTCTGTTTTATGAAACTTGAGTTACAACTGAGTCATTATAATAATATTTACCTGTTTGTGGAGAACCTTCTTGAGCTCGTAATCTGGTCCAATGTTCCGAAACATTCATAATAACTAGGGGATGAAGTGATACGGTAACAGAACCAGACGAAGCATTTGTAACCACAATACTTTTGTTGACTCCCGGGGGAGGTGCTGCAGGAGAAGCAGGATTAGGAACGTCTACTGATGGGCCAGATGAAGCACTTTCTACCTCAACTTCCATCTCGAAATCAATTCTATCAGCGCTAGACATAATTGCAAAAAATGCGCTTTGGCGTTGGACAAGAATATTTTTAAATATAAGGATAAACCATAGTCTCAGATAGGTATAAGCAAATTAATGCGGCTTAATAGAAAATTTTCCACTTTAAATTCTACTATTATTTAATTTTTAAAAACTGCCCAGGATATACGACTATTCGGCGATCAAAATCACAAAAATAGTAATACACTAAGAAGACAATTAGTAAGAACTAAGAAGATCATAGGATTTATTGAAATTGGAAAATGATAATGAGTAATTTGAGTATTGACATTTGACAATGACACCTCTTAAATGACTAAAATGGCAGCAGCAATGTCTATGATGAACCTTCAACCGTATCATTTAATTGTTTTAGAATAGTAAATAGTCACTGCCATTGTCAAAAACGTTAGAATTTTTTAATTTAAATATAATCTTCATTAATGAATGGCGGAGTGCCAATCATGATTGTGTTATCGTGAATTATTACTTTTAGTTTACGCTTTATGCGTAACGATTTATGTAAGAACTGTGAATTAGCGATCAATAAAATAATAACTGTTATCTACGATTATCCCGGGATTTCCCAATGTCAACAAAGATAACTGTCTAAAATATCGAAGTATCCGTAACACATGCTCATTGGTTAAAGTTGAGCTTAAGAAAACAAAACATCAGGTTAGAAGATCTTTTCTTATTTGCTACTATCGTACGTTGACCACAATGGCTGCGACCGCGACAAAAGTTGTAGGAGCCGCAAAGGACATATCACCTCTTTATTATAGAATGCTATCAAAGTTTCCTCAAAACTTTACCTTTTGCTTTGCTTATGGATCTGCTGTCAAACCTCAAATTGGAAATGAGAAGAAACATAACATGATTGACTTGATTTACTGTGTAGATAACTCTCATAGATGGCATGGTGCAAACCTTGAAATTAACCCCTCTCATTACTCTGCTCTTCGTTTCTTGGGCAAAGGATTTATTGCAAAGTTTCAAGAAAAATGGGGTGCTAAGGTCTATTTTAATACCTTGGTTGAGATGAAAGAAGAAAATGTTACAATTAAGTATGGAGTTGTGTCACAAAAAGATTTAATAACAGATCTCCTGGATTGGAACTACCTCTACCTGGCTGGTAGACTGCATAAACCTGTAGAAATAATCAAACAAACAAAAACTTCACAACTGCAAAATGCACTTCAGTCAAATTTGAGATCTGCAGTGCACACAGCTCTACTGATTTTGCCTGAGACATTTTCAGAATATGATTTTTATTTTGCCATATCAAATCTTAGTTATGCTGGAGATTTTCGCATGACTTTTGGTGAAAATAAAAATAAAGTGAGGAATATAGTTCAACCCCAGTTGCTCAGTTTTAGAGAATTATATCGTCCAATATTGCAACATTTCCATGCTTATGTTGATTTTCCAACCGGGGATGCACAATGCCATCAAGATTTAAGTCCAAAAACTAAACTGCATCATCTAATGCAATTGCCTATGGTTCCACAACAAAGAATTGTTAAGTTCTGGAATCATGGTGGACCACAACAGGATATGGAGGATGTGTTGAGAGCAGTTGCATATGACATTGATTGTGCTGTTATTTTAAGACAGATACTAAAAGATTTAGTTTGGCAATCCAGTGTACGACAATCTTTAAAAGGCATAGCCACAGCAGGTCTTCTAAAATCTATTCGGTACAGTGCTAAGAAGATCGCAAAAATGTTTTAGCTGCTGCTCATGTTATTTGTATTCTATATATAGAATTAAATAGTATTAATAAGTAATCTGTGTATTTTTTACTTACTTTTTTTAAATCCTTTTGTTTGCTTCTAGGAAAAATGTTATCTGATGAATCAAGCAGTGATTCAGAAACTGGCCGCTTTAAATGCCAAACAAACAAGCAAGATGGTCACCAGAGAAGGGATGAAACTAGGTCTACAAATAGAACAAGATCTCCTGGTAGAAACAAGCACCCTGTTAATAGATATGATAAGGGTTTTGATAGAAAAAAAGATGATAGAGATAGATTTCATAGAGATAGACACAGGCATGAAAGGTATTCTCCTATAAGGTCTAGGTATCCTAGAGATAGAAGTAGAGAGAGAAGATCCCATGAGAGACAAAGAGAGAAGGAGAGGTCAAAGCATAAAGATTTTAGTCTAAATAGAGATCAAAGGAGAAGTTCAAGATCCAGGTTCTCGAGATCTCCTATGCACAACAGAAATGTAAAAGATGAGATTAAAAATATCATTGTTTCAGACAAAACTACTGATAAGTATGATAGGAAACCCAGAGATGATAGTCCACCATCTCCTATTCACACTGTCAAGAGGTCTGAGGTTTATAAACCTCAAGAGCAACCAAAAACCAGGAAGAGTGAAAGCCCTGTTGTTATTGATCATGACAGTCCTGATGAGGAAGTACAACTAGGATCATATTATAGCATGATACCAGCTGTTGTAAAGGAAAAATCCGAAGAATCCAGTGAAATTGATTCATCTGATGATGAAAAGCTTCGTGCCAAGCTCTTAAATTTAGAAAAAGAACTTCACAAAACCAAAAAGAAGAAACATAAGAAAAAACACAAGAAGAGAAGTTCAAAGTCAAAAGATAAAGTTTTGGATGCAATATCCGTTGAAGTTACCAGTACAACCGATATACAAGAAGTGCAAAATGAGCATAAAACTCAGTCAACAGAAGTTTCGTCCACACAAAAAAATAATCGTAAAGACAGCAGCGAGGAAGGAGAAATATTAAGTGAAGAGGAGTTTGATTCCAATGACCTGAGACACAAGCTAAAAAGATCAAAAACAGCACAAGAACAGCCTAAATTAGATGCTTGTGGTCCCGCACTGCCGCCACATTTGCAGAAACGCTATACTAAGAGTGCCTCTCCCGATAATGTTTCAATTAAATTATCAACTGAAAAGGTCAGAAATATTGGTATGTATATATTTGTTTATCTATTTGATATAACTATTATTATTCCCTAATGATGATTGTCATTAATTCAATATGGGTAAAATTAACCGAACTAGTTATACCAAAATATTAAATCGAGATTTAAACTACTGCTGAGTCAATATCAAACAACATACAACAACTTTACAAATAATTTTGTTTCTAAATTGTCTTTAGATGTTTTTAATTTTTAAATGACATTTCAGGACCAACTATACCATCTGACATGCGAAAAGTGCTTGCTGAACAAAGCCCAGAATTGATAAAAGAAAGTTCAGATGAAGATGGCATCGGTCCTTTACCCGCTGGCGCTGAAGAAAAATGGTCAGAGGCTCATCAAAAATTGGAAGAAAGGGCATATGAAATTAAGATCAAGAAATTGGAAGGGCAAAGCATGAAAGGCAAGGATGTGAATCGGGAACAATGGATGCTTGAACTGCCGGAGGGAAAAACTAAGTTTTTAGGGCTTGAGGCTCGTGGATTCAGAGCAAAAGCGGGACCGGATATGTCTGACAGGTTTGTTAATAAAATCTATTTACTTAGGTTATGTTATTATCTGTGTAATGTATTCGCTTATTTTCAGGTAAATAGATATGATATAAAACCAATTTTTGAAGTTATACTTCTTTAGGCGCGTTATGAAAAATTTATGAGAGTAAAATTTTACGATGCGCGCGCACCGTGACACAAAATTAACAGAATGAAGTTGCCCACGGAAGATGCTACGGCATTGGACATCATTTAAAAACAACATTCGAATAATAATAGAGTTTATGTTACACTTAATGTAAGAGAATAATAATAAATATTTATTTATTTAATTTTTCAAATGTAAACTGAACTTTATTGACTATAATGACTCCTTTTCCAGTCTTTGATTATTTAATTGTAATTAATTATTTGCTTGCAATCTAAAACTATTTTTAATAATGCCAAAGAAGTATAACTTCTTACGCTCGTATATAAGTAGACGCACCCTTTTTTTTAGTAGTTATTAGAAAAACGATTTCTATGGATAAAATACTATCTACTTACATATAATAAGGAGCAAAAAACGAGTGTATGTGCTTGTACACACTGATCTGCGAAAATATTCGATTTCACGGTTCAAACCAAGTTTGGTTTAGTTCGTTTCTATTTTTAGGAAATAAGATTTCGACATTATTACAAGGGTGTGAATTCCACTCAGACAATGTGAGAATGTAATGTTATTAAAAATTTACGGTTTCAGCCACGTTTGAGCGCCCCGAGAAATCTTCCAAAGAAGTCTCCAGGCATTCCAATAACTGTTTATGTATATGATTCTTTGGCATTTTTTTTAATCAATAGAATTGTATAGAAATGGTAAATTTATAAAAAAATACTTCTAGATCCAGCTGGACAGATACTCCAGAAGATAAAGCTCGAAAGGCATCGGGTGTGGTTGAGGAAGATCCTTCGGAAACTTTACAACGAGAAGCGAAGGATCGGCAGGTGTCAAACAGAGATGAAGAACAAGAACAAGCTGTGAGGTAGGATATTTATGTAGAAAATGCAATTTACTTAATGAAACATTTCATTATAAAATAGTTTTACGTCACAGGGTTTTTTTACTTATTTCTTAAACATTAAAATAAACTAAAAGTACACCAAAAAAACTACTGAAGGGCTACCACAGTACAAATTTCTTAAAATTAATTTAAATTTGTCCCTTGGAAATGATGTGGTTTGGTAAATAATAATATAGTACTCCATAATGCTAAAATAATGAGTTTAGAGCAGTGTTTCCCAACTTATTTGTGCCTAACTTAGCCTTTCTAAGATTCTTATGCCCCAAACATAATTTTTAATATTATTAATATTTAATAAAAAAAAATTGAATTGTTCACTTAAAAACTTGGTGATAGGTTTTAGGAAAAAATCACTAGGAAATTAAAATTAATTATTGCTTACACAGTAATAGTATAAGATCCCGCTATACAACGACCTTCACCGAGATGCTTATTTAATGAAACGTATTTTATATTTAATTTAATATGTCAATAAATATAATCCATATGGGTTGTCTAGCAAATTTCAGTCCAGAGTATGTTTAATTAATAATTTAAAAAAAATATTTTTTGAAACATTTCACTGGTATGATTATTAGATAAATTCTATACCAATCGAAAGTATAAAGCCCATAGAATATGCAAACTTTATGCTGCCCATTCTTTTCCGGTCACAACTATCGGGTTGCCAGGTATAAACAGGTAGATCTGTACTAGCATTTGCAACGGTCTGTTTATTGAATGAAATTTAAATGAAATTAAAGATTATTTTAATCTGAACACGGTGGTATAGGGTTGGCTGCGAAAAATCAGTCCAGAATTGCGGTTGTCGAATTTTAAAAAGTAAAATATTGCTCCAAGTGAATGTGTGCGACTGAGAGGTCCCAACCGACCATCCCATGCGATAGAAGAGGACACAGCATAGCAGTTGTTTAAAGTCCGCCCACTTAAAGAAAGAGAGTGCGCATGCTATTTGGGCTTGGAAAAGAAAAGGATAGCGATGGACTCGTATATACTATGCATCATTTTGGAGTAGTTTATTATTTAAATAGAGAAATAGTTATTTAATTTTTTTTTATTAAATTAATTATTTATGTGTATATTTTTTGTGACACTAAAGTATATATATGTCACCGTAAAATTGTAAACACCGTTAGATTGTAATCTATCTCGCGAGATTGTAAACTGTCGAAATATTGTGAACCTCAACGAACTGCTTACAATTTAACGTATTATTATTCGGTAGAATAATAATCGTTAAATCTATCGAAGTGAAACCGTCAAATTGTGAAACGGATCGCACCTCGCGCGCTGATTAATAGAACAGAATATGCCCCGCGCCACCATATTTGTTTGTTTGTTGTCGAATATAAATTGATTGTTTTGATGAATGTAAATTGATGTCGTGTTGTAAGTAACTCACAGCTTTAGAATTAGTTATATGAAATTATTGGGAAGTAAAATTAATCTGTGATTGACCAAAGAAGTTTGAATGATAACTAAGTTAGTGTTGGAAATGAAATGAAAGAAAATTGAACTAATTTTTCAATTTTAATTTGTGTTTGAAGAGAAAATATTGTTACGTTTCTGATTTTTTTATTTTGATATATTTTTTTTATCATGTGATGTCAGAATTATTGATTACCTACTAAGTAATAAATACTAATTTTTGAAGTGCATTCATTTTATTTGACCGATACCCTTGTTTCATTCCTAACTCTATGGACATATAACGGTCTACTATAAAGCCGACCAATCAGCGCTCGAGGTGCGTACCGTTTCACAATTTGACGGCTTCACTTCGATAGATTACAATCTACCGAATAATAATACGTTAAATTGTAAGCAGTACGCTGAGGTTCACAATCTTTCGACAGTTTATAATCTCGCGAGATAGATTACAATCTAACGGTATTTACAATTTTACGGTGACATATACATCTTTAGTAAAAAAGAAGGTTATAGTGATTCATATATAATACTAGCCTGATTAAAAATATTGATTGAAAAAAATTAAAAAAATTACTACATGCAAATTATAAATCTATAAATGTAAACAGAGAAATTGAAATCAATTGAAACTATTGGAAAAAATTCAAAACCCATAAAAGTGAATTTTTTTAATCAGGGTAATCTTGCAAATTTTATTTTTATTATAAGAAGACAAAATAAAAAACAACAATTAAAAAATTACTTCTATTTATTGTAAAAAATTAAAAATACAATTTTTTTTTTTAATTATTCAGAATCCGAGTCATCGGACATAAAACTACGATCTTCAACTTCTGAATCTTCTTCGTCATCACTCTCTGTTTCACTTTTTTCGACAATGTCTTCTATCTATAAAGGTGTATGATCCCCAATGAATCCTACTGGTTTTAAATATTCATCTAAGAACCATCCGCAGTTCTCAGGCTCAAGTTTCACATATATTTGTAGATTTATAATTTGCATGTAGTAATTTTTTTTTATTTTTTTCAATCAATATTTTTAATCAGGCGGTATTATATATGAATCACTATAACCTTCTTTTTTACTAAAGATGTAAATATACTTTAGTGTCACATAAAAAATATACACATAAATAATTAATTGATAAAAAAAAATTAAATAACTATTTCTCTATTTAAATAATAAACTACTCCAAAATGATGCATAGTATATACGAGTCCATCGCTATCCTTTTCTTTTCCAAGCCCAAATAGCATGCGCACTCTCTTTCTTTAAGTGGGCGGACTTTAAACAGCTGCTATGCTGTGTCCTCTTCTATCGCATGGGATGGTCGGTTGGGACCTCTCAGTCGCACACATTCACTTGGAGCAATATTTTACTTTTTAAAATTCGACAACCGCAATTCTGGACTGATTTTTCGCAGCCAACCCTATACCACCGTGTTCAGAATAAAATAATCTTTAATTTCATTCAATAAACAGACCGTTGCAAATGCTAGTACAGATCTACCTGTTTATACCTGGCAACCCGATAGTTGTGACCGGAAAAGAATGGGCAGCATAAAGTTTGCATATTCTATGGGCTTCATACTTTCGATTGGTATAGAATTTATCTAATAATCATACCGGTGAAATGTTTCAAAAAATATTTTTTTTAAATTATTAATTAAACATACTCTGGACTGAAATTTGCTAGACAACCCATATGGATTATATTTATTGACATATTAAATTAAATATAAAATACGTTTCATTAAATAAGCATCTCGGTGAAGGTCGTTGTATAGCGGGATCTTAGACCATAAGCAAATTTTTAAAACATAATGAAAAACCGAAATTCAAATTCAAAATAATTTTAGTGAACAAATTGTGATTTGTGAAAATGAAAACCTTCACAATCAAATGCCCCCCGTTGGGGCGTGGGCCCCACGTTGGGACACTGGTTTAGAGTCTGTGCGAAAAGAGAACCGTCGTGGCGCGTATGAGAACATTTCTTATTTGCTACGCGCCATTTCATTTATTCACAAAAGTTGTTTTTTTTCTTATTAAGTATAAATATTACTACTTACGAACTATAATGACGTAAGTGCTGTTAACATAACTAAAAAGGTAATTAAGCACTACTACTTTAGATACCATGACTGTTCTCTTTCCACAAAGTCTACTCTAATCGTTAAATTTTTTACTAACCATATTTGAAAGAAACAGAAATGTGTTTGTTTCGTTGTATTGTCCCAAAGACAGTACGAACACGCAATCATCAATAAACTTATTTGATATTTTTATAGGATACTTTAACGTCTATTCATCTTCTTATCTACAAATAACTTAAATATTACAGAAGACATAAAAAGAAGCATAAAAGAGATGAGAGTTTGTTGGAAATTCACCAAAGGAAAATGAAGAAGAAAAAGAAGGTAATATAATTCTTAAGATATGGTTGACATATTATATACGTATATGTACACATAAAACGCCGACATTTTTTCATATATCTCGACGTTTACTAATAAATATAGCCACTACTACAACTATCAAAGTAATATTGAAATTCTGCAGAATTAAACTTAAACCAATACTTACTTAATGTAGATAAAAAAGTTATAACTGAAAGAGCTGATACGTTTTTAATGCAATTATATGAAACACATATTATATAGATTACTTTTACAAAGTATTAAACAAGTTAATACTTTGTAAAAGTAATCCGTTAGAATTACACTTTTGAAATTGTATAATTACTTTTTATATACTATTCACAGAAGGAAATAGAAGATAAGAAAGAGCGTCGTCCATTCAGCCGTGATGTAGACCTGCAAGTGAACAAATTTGATGAGGCCCAAAAGAAATCGATCATCAAGAAGGCACAGGACTTAAATACGAGGTTTTCGCGCGGCGATGCTAAGTTTTTATAACACTATTATAGTTGTTTAAATAGTGTATTGTCTGTTGAATTGCGGCTGTCAATGTCAATGCTAAAAAAATTTACAATAGCCACTTATTTTGATGATTTAAAGTTTAAGTTATTGTGAATGTGTTTTTTTTGTAAAAGCTGACAAGTTCAAAATGTCAATGAGAGTAATTGTCAATGTCAAAATATGCAATACTCAATTGTCAATACTATTACTGTTTTAGTAAAAAGCTTCAAATACAATTCGTGTCAACTCATGTCTTTTTTTTTAAATTGGGTAACCACGTTTTTATATCAATTTTTATCATCTCATTTAAGGTTTTTGTATTTTAGTTAATATATAATAATTATATGAATTAGTAAGTAAAGTTATCTGTAATCAAAATATTGGTTCGAAATGAGTAGTCTATTAACAAGTGACACGCGTGTTTGTGATTACAAAATATATCTTAATATAAAACATTGCAGGCGACTTTACAATTCACAAGAATTTAAAGTAATGAAAATGACCAAAATGGCTATGTCTAATGTCATGCTCTCAATAATCTTTGTCTTATTGTCTATTGAAATGATGAAAATTATGAAAAAAAAACTTTATATTCAAATTTATAATATATCGCGACTATGCAAAAAAAGTCTGACACAGTAATCATGGCTGGATAAAAAGCAATAGCAAGAGTATATTATATGAAAAAAGAATTTTTTATCAAAAAGTTTAGGTGATACTACTTTAAATTGAGCAATGTTTTATATTTGACAAAGTAAGAGAAGTAAAATCCAAACGAACAATAAATAGATATATTACATCGATTCATCTATACAGGACACGTGGTTTGTCACGTGACCATTTCCACAGGAACCTAATACTTTGCCTTGAATGAGTTCAAAAATCGAATTTAAAAGTATTTTTTTTTAAGCCAAAGGCGATACATTTAACATCATATAAAATAGCTTTCTTGTGTTAAGAGAAGGACCTCGAATCTTGGAACGTAATGAGCAAAGCATTTATTTATTTATAAATATTTTATCAACTCTCGTTAAAGTTGGAGCTTCATGTATGCACATTTGTAAAACGCATTTTGCAATGATTTTTTATGTAAACGAAGATTATTAGTTTTATCATTAGTTTAAGTCTAGTATGTACAATACCCCCCGAGGTTTTTTTTTCAAATGTAAACTGGTGTAAATATATCTTTAAACAGGCTCTATTTCACTTTGTCCTTTCTATACAGCCTTAGTATATGTATATCAACGCATATATATTTATCGAATAAACTAGTACGTATTCGAACGCACTCATTTACCCACTACCCTTTGCCTTGTTAACGTCACGGAAAAATATCTTATTTGGGAAAACTTCAATGTAAGTAAACATGTAAAAAGTATTATATACGAAATATTTATATTCTAGCGACGACGCCCGTGGTATATTTTTAGGCGTTTTTTTTTTCAAAGCTATTTATTTCACTCACTTTTTCGTTAAAGTTCGTTAAGTTAAGTACTTGGCAAAAACTAAATCAGTTTTTTGCACTGTTTTATGATTTAATCTGTGTCTTCGGCAGACACAATAGTCAATTTAATATTCAACGTAATGTTTCTACTTGTTCAATACTAGTTACATAATAAAAATATCTATAAAACGACATCAAACAGATTATTGAATTTTACACTATGTTTTAACTATGTACGTAGCGAACTCGGCTCAACACTTAGGGTATAATAATAGGTATTCAGAGCGAGGACTTCAGCAATACGTTTTTAACCAAGGAAGTGATTCTTAACTGACTGAATCTGTTGGTAAATTCTACCCTTAGAATAAAATAGGAATAGACTAATTGTTTATGATGGACGTTTAGAAAAATTGTAACGATTTATTGAGGCCATATTAAAACAAGTTTATCATATATGGAAACGTTTAATTTTAATGAGGTTTATATTTTCATTGTATAGTAATTATTCTTTGTTTGACATGGTGGTTAAGTGGTCTGCTGATGCGCAGGTCTTCACTTCAGCATCTTGACAGCATAGATTCTCGTCCGCCGTCATATCGGCGTATACCCAAGGCTTCTCGCAGATTTTAAAGAATGCTGACAGCTGAAAATATTTTAAATTTTTGCCTTAAAATTAAGACCAATGTTTTATATTCAATTGTCTGGCTCTAAATGCATTATTAACCGAATTCATTTTATCTAATATAATAAATAAAATAATGAATCTTGTCAGTTATAATACTTAGTTGCAGAATGGCTTAGTTCAGTTAAAAGCTAATAAAGGCCTAAGGTAAAAGATTCCCAGGAAAATACTGTCCCTAAAGCCACAGCTAGCATCGGAACCTTGACAGTTGACGTATCGTTGATGATATTAAGTTTCGCGGTCATTTGGAAGGAAAGGCTAAGAAGCTCGGTATGTCTAGCAAGGCGAGACAGTACTTCACTTCGGGCCAGCGTTTGCAACTCTATAAAGCCGAACATCATCACACACATCTGCATCTTCTACCCCATTTACCATGGAAAGTGTTCAGAGGAGTTCTTGAGATTAGGAAATACCCGCAGCTGAGTTTCATCATCGGACGTCAAGGCAAAATACCAGCCGTATCACCTCGACGTCCGTCGTTCCACAACTGAGCGTTTCTTAAAGCAGTTGTTCCCGCTACTATGTGACTATATGAAGCCAGCTGCCCACTGAAGTATTTCCGAACCAATTCGACTTATGGTCCTTCAAAAAAAGAGCGTACCAATTCATAAAAGGCCGGCCAACGCACTTGCGAGCCTTCTGGCAATGTGAATGTCCATGGGTGGCGATATCACTTAACACCAGGTGAGCCCCCTGCCCGTTTACCTCCTGTTACATAAAAAAATACTGATTAGACGTTTCAGTTGAAAAACGATGTCTACTTCCTCCGATCAAAGGAGGGTCTTTGACGACTCTAACTGATCGTGTTCTATTGATTCTCCGTGATTTCTTCGGGTACTTATTTAAAACATAAACTATACATACTGGGAATAAACAAAAACGTACTTTAAGTTCATCAGCATTCTTCAGCCTGTTGCACAGTATTTCCGGTCCCTTAGCCTTCGCAGCGGTAGCTAGGGCATTACACAAGACTTTACATTTGGAGCTGCCTTCTTCGTCGCAATTGACTACTAATCCCGGAGATTGGGATATAAGAGGTTCCGTATTTGCTTCTGGCGTGGATGTAGGGAAACCACCACAAGAGCAATTCCCCTTTAAACCATCGTTTATCAATGGCGCACTGTAAAATTATAACATTTTTACAAAAAATCTTATTTATTAAAAACCAGTGGCTTCAGGTTTTTTTATTGGTTTCAACTTTCATGATCATTTGTCAATCTAATAGGCAAGTGTGATCCTGTGCTTAACACACGCCGACTACTTTTTGGGTCTAAGGCAAGCCGGTCCTCACGATGTTTTCCTTCACCGTTTGAGTGAATCTTAAATGCGCTCATAGATAGAAAATCCATTGGTGCACAGCCGGGGATCGAACCTACGACTTCAAAGATGAGAGTTGCACACTGAAGCCATTAGGCCAACGCTATTAAAGAAACTTATTAAAGTTTTTATTGAAAATACCTCCTCTCACCTATCTTATACGTACATATCCGTTATTCGTAGTAAAGCTAGCCTTAAAGCTGGATGTTCTATCCATATATTAAAACTAATTATCAACATCGATCCAGTGCTTTAAGTGTGAAAAAAGTGACAAAATTAATAAAGATGTCGATATAATATCTATAGTTCATCGTGGAGAAAGGAAAATATTCTATTCCGTCGTATACATACTATATAATATTAATACTAGCCAAGTTTTAGAAATAATGTAGTTAGTAATAGTAACGTTAAAAGCATATGTATATTATCATTAAAATTACTACATTTAAAAGTAAAAAACAACGTTACCTTGTGTGCAAGTCCTCAGCGTGGCTTAGTCCTAGAGTGATTAATATAAAACCAAAAAACTTGGGAAATGACATGTTGGTGAATTCTAACCGATGTTCAGTTGATTTCAGAATAACCTTTTCTCCATGCTGATTTATATATACTATACTGATCGCTTTAAGTTAGAGCGACTACAATTGTTGGTATCTTGGGACTAACTAAAGAAAAAAATTCTAAAGTATGAATTAAGCATAAACTCTTATCTACCCTTAACTTTCCTTAACCAGATAGTGAAAATATATATGAACACTCATAATATTGCCAGAAGGCTCGCAAGTACGTTGCCGGAAAATAATAAGTATATATATTAGAATCATTACCCTTTGATTATCCCTCTTGCATAACATTGACAGTTAGGGTGAGATTCGAAACGAGACTTAGAGCGAACTATGACCGAAAGTCAAAATCCAATACATTTGTGATTTACGAAGTGAACACAGACTCATTCAGAAATGAGAGTTAGCATTAACTCTCATTTCTTAATATTACCCTAAGTAACCAAAGCCGTAAGTAATTTTATTTGCGCATCTTCTTTTAACAATGTATCCTACATTTTATTGATTGAAAATAGTTTTTGTGTATTAACTATTATTAAATTCATTGTTATTTGTACAAGTACTTTTTACTTACCGGTAGTTAAAAATAATAATTACATAACAGACCTGAACTTGTAAAAAATATGTCTACCCTACAGAAATCAGAACCTTGTTTTGATACGTACCAATTATACGATGAAGTTGTTTTGTTTCAACTTGTATCACAATGAACCATTACTGTGTATGACATTTGTTGACATAACATGGTAATTCATTCCGCAATCGTAATTCAATTCAACTCGTAGTCCAAGACTTCGTTATCTAACACTAGGGAATACGACCCCGATATCGTAAGATCTCATAGGATTAACGAGATTATGTGACAATAGTGTCAGAATAGTTAATCTCATCGATGAACAAGCGTCGAATAAATGCAACCTCAGCGTTGTTATATTTAAAAATTTAGTTCCTTTGTAGCTTTCTGACGCTGGTGCCAACCAGTGTTGAGACTGAGAGGGCATTTTCAGCTGCTGGGCACTCTCGATACTCTTGCTTCTCAGGAAGTTTTTCCAAAATCCAATATCCAAGATGGATAGATTTAAGTAATTCTTTGTTCACCACTGCGAAGGCTTGTATTAAAATAAGTAATGAATATATTTCGTATTTTATTTATTATAAATAATAGGAGCAGTTATCATAAATATGAGGTACACTAAATATTTTTATTTATATAAATTATCACATAAACACATCTTAGCAGTTTTCATCGTGTTTTAGTTGTTCGATTTAAACAATTGGTTTTCGAAAATTATCCTAGATCTCGCGAGATTTTAATTCTTAATCCCACGAGATTCTGACTCGAGATTGCATTCCCTATATAGGACGGTACCTAGGCTTACGGGTCGTTACAAGTCTATTATATATATCTTATATCTTTTAAGGCAAATAGATAGATCAGCCTTCTGGCTGTACAACCCAAAACAATTATTTCAACGGGACTTCCACTGACATATTATATGTGGGTCAGTTCTTATCCACCAAGGTGAGACTTACTGATTTAGCTCAGTTGCCCCGAGTTGGTTTCTCTATATAATTTTTTTATGCTCAGACTTAACAAATATACCACAACAAATGCAGATAGATCTATGCCACGTAGATTTATTTAAAAAAAACTGACAAAAATATAAAACTAGAAATGGAATAAACTTTTTGTCATAAATAAAGGTATATATTTTTATTGCAAATACCAAATTTTGTGCAAACACCAAATATTTTTCATTAAATCTTTGTCTTTACCAACTGGAATCTGGGAGTTGGAATGTAGGTCAGATTTGTTATGTTAAGAACTTATTAAATTAAAAAATAATAATTTCAAATACTTTATTAAAAGGCAGTCTTTTATTTTATTTTTTAAGGACTCTTTTACTTTCATTACATTTACCAAAAAATATTTTTTTACCATTTATATCATGATTGTATTAATCATGACTAGTCAATTATTCTATGTCTACTAACTATGCTTATATTATACACAAAATACTCCTATGTTACATATTCAACCAATAAATGCAAGGATTTACAATGGTTAATCTGTGTTTATATTACTTTAGATACAAAAAATATTTTTGTTTAGTTTATTTCATGTCTGTTTAGTTTTTTTACTTGGTAGCCTTTCTTTACCATTTTTTTTGATTCAGTTATATTTATTAATAATTAAAACATGATGTTATGTGTTTGTTCTACTGATTATATGACATTTAAAAAAATCTAAGATAAAACATTTAAACTTTTACCAATTAACTGAAAAAACTTATAGCATTAGTGACCAAGCTTTTAGGTATAATCTCAGTTATATATTTTTTATACTAATACATATATTCATTCTAATCTTAATTGTTAAGCATTATCTCTGTGGAGCAGGAGATGGTTTTGGCATTTTTCCAAGGAGAGCTTGAATTTCCTTTTTCTCATCATAGTTTTTCCACATTTCATATAAATTAATTATAGCTCTTACTATTTCTTGTATCTGAAATATCAAAAATCAAATGATAAATAATCTCAATACAGGTATTGACTATTTCATTAATATACTTTAATAAATTAGAAAATAAGTTTAAATTTGCCAAAAGATCTTGAGCAGAAAATTGCTTCTGTTTTGTTATCCTGTTACATATAAAATAAACTCATTATTATTTATTATCTATTTTATTAACTAAACATAAATTCATCTAGAGTATCAAACTTGAAAAATTAAGGTGACATAGGGCAATTTTCACTGTTATGAATTATAAAGTAACAGAAAATTGTAATTACCTTGTCCATATCTACATTAAGTTCTGCAAACCAAGGCTTTAAATTTTCTTTACCAAGCATAACACAAGCGATATGTAATGCACCAATGGCAATCTGAAAATATAATAATAGCGTCTAATACCCATATTAATATTCATTGTAATTAAATTTGTATGTACTGTTTACCTGGTATGGTGGATATAGCAAACTAACATCGGTGCGAAGGGAATCATTGACAACTCTCCAAGCATATGTTGATAGTTGATCATCTTGACCTATATCTTGTACAAACAGCAACAATGGTCTGTATGGTTGGTAGACAATCAAGCAACAATCCAAGTTCTCTAACAAATAAAATTCACATTCTAGGATATGATTAGTTCTATAAGGAAACTCTTGCTGTCCATATGCATAACTGAATTTATTTTTAATTACTGTTTGGCATGTTGTTATTAATCGTGAGTTAGAAATAACACCAAATTCCTCAACTTTAGATGCTAGAAACACACATGTAGGGGCTAAAAGCAAGGGATCTATGCACTTCAGAGAATTTCTTGCGTAAAATCTTTTAAAGTAAACAGTGGCTGTGGCTATCACTTGCTGGCGAAGTTTGAGTTGTTCCCCTAAAACTTGGATAATACTTGCGAAAAAATTAAATATTTTTTGGTATTCTTCTTCTGTTAGTTTTGATAAGTCATGTTGGCGATCGCGAATAAGGTCTTGCTTGTCTAACAGCCACTGCTGATGATGTGAACTTTGCCAAAAATTACCCGCCATTGTTAAGATACTTTTCCTTTCTAGTATTTCTTTTGAAGTAAAACAATGTCAGATTGTTTCAATTGTTTTGCATTCGATTAAAATATATATCTTTTTGTAAACTCGTTTACATTTTAATAAAAGAATCTTAAAAAATTACAAAAGCATCTGGTCAACTGAAAACTGTCACTTATTTTTTTTTTAAACTGAAAAGTTATTGTTATATATTATATGTCAGTTGTCATATAATACTTGATCTTACTTACCTGTTTCTGCTGTGGTTTACTTTGTTGTCAATGTCTGATGTCAGTTAACCATATTATTTGTCATTAGGTCATCAATTCTTATTACTCAACTTCAAAACAACAAAAAAAACTCGTGTACTGTCGATTTTATTATTTTCTTCTATAAGATAGGCCGGATACTAACAAGTGGAAGAAAAACTAACTTAATTGCTGCCATTCTAATCAATACTGCAATAGCATATTGGTATAAATCATTTAAGGTTAGATCTAGGAATGCATAAAATTTTGGAGTTTCAAGCTGTAGTTTTAGCAGCAGGAAGAGGTTCTCGACTTCCAGATGTAGGTGGAACGTTCTCAAAATGTCTTCTTCCTATAGGTCCATATCCACTACTATGGTATTCATTGAATATGCTTGAGAAAGTTGGGTTTCAAGGTATGTCATATGTTTTTTAATATAAATCATAATATCAATAGAAGAAGTTATTGGTTTTCTATATATCCTACTTTTGGTGTTTTATAAAATACTTAAATTCATTTTTTATATCTTTATTAAATGTATTATTGGAGTCCAGTGTTTTGTTTACAGTTTAATTATTCTTCTGGATTTATTTACTTAATATTTATTTCCAGAAACTATGGTCTTGGTACTTGATGATGACAAATCAAGCATTTTGAGTGCATTGGAAAAATGTCCACTAAAAATAAAGTATGAATTGATTGTTATACCCTCTGAAGAGGATTGGGGTACTGCAAATTCTCTCAAACACATTAGTAGCAGGGTAACAACAGACTTAGTTGTAGTTTCTGGAGATTTGATATCAAACATCAATCTAAATGATGTTTTGAACCTTTACAGAAAGCATGATGCGGTACTTGCTTCTCTTTTCTTTAATAATGGTCCTGAAGAATGGATAGAACTTCCAGGACTTAAAACAAAAGCGAAGCCAGATCGTGATTTAGTGTGCTTAGACAAGGAGACGGAAAGATTATGTTGTCTAGCCAGTGCTAGTGATTTTGAAGAAAACGTAACACTTCCTAGATTACTATTAAAGAAATTTAACACTTTAAGTATGTACAGCAGATTATTAGATGCTCATGTGTATATTATGAAGCATTGGGTTGTCAATTACCTTGTCGACATGGATAAGTTTACATCAATTAAAGGAGAACTAATTCCTCATTTAGTAAAGAAACAGTTATCAAAGCCCAAAAATGCTTTAGAAAAAAAAGGGATGTCAGAAAAAAATATGGATATAAATAAGGATATTTTCGACTATGCACTTGGGAATGGCTATGAAAAACAGATTCGTGAGATGTCAGCATATAATGATCATAAACTTGGCAATAAAGGTGTTTACTCTGGTGACATTCTGAGGTGCTATGCACATATACCAGATAAAAATACTTTTGGAATGAGAATAAATACCTTATCTGCTTTTTATTTGTCTAATAACAAGGTAAACATTTGAAATTATATGTTTTGAAAGTTCCATTTCACATACAGAATCTAAATCAAAAATGTTTCACCGTCTAACTGTCAACAGTTAGTGTCCAACCCTAGCTGTTGTCTGTGTCCAACCATGGTATTTTGTTCTTAAACACTGGACAAAATATTGAACAAAAAGAAAACTATGTTATTGGGGTTATTTTTCTATATTTTTTCTATGCTTTCTACAACAATACATAGTAAATTAATATAGTTTAATCATATATTGTAATTTAATTTTATTGTAAGTAAATGAGTCAATGGATTATTGTTCACATATATTTTTCAGATTCTATCAAAGTGGGAAGAAATAACCGGATTGCCTCTTAATGAAAAAATACACCCGAATAGTGAAGTTAAAACAAAACAAATAGATGAAAACACAACAGTTGGTGAAAAAAGCATATTGAGCGAGAAAACATCTATAAAATGCACATTTATTGGTTCAAATTGTACTATAGAAAACAAAGTTAGGCTTACAAACTGCATTTTGATGAACAATGTGACGATTAAAGAAGGGTGTGTACTGCAAGATTGTATATTATACACTGGAGCTACAGTAGATACAAATTGTGCATTGCATTACTGTATTGTTGGACCCCATCATGTTGTACCACCTACCACTAAGGGCAACCATCAACTGCTGGCAGAAACCACAGATAATATGATAACACTTGGCTAAATAAAAATATTTAAAAACCTTAACTTGCTTTTATTTACTTTATTTACAGGAGAATATAAATTAGAAATTAAGCTTTCCAAAAAATATTAATCATAGTCACGCATGCACTAAAGCACTGCAAATGCATAGTATCTTACATTTAATAAAAAACAATATTAATTAAATTTAAGACTTCAAAATAAATAAGTAAAAAAATTCTCAACATCGACATTGCGAACAAAGCGAAGTTTTTAATGTTATGTCTTCTTAAGGTGGCCATAGACGGACGGACTGATAACTGATTTGATGAATTAATTAGTATTTTAAGCCATAAAATACAACGGACAGATTCCAAAATTAGGAAGGGATTGGTCTTCCAATTCCAAAAAAGCGGGGAGGGAGTGGCGCTCGGTCGGCAGCAACCGCTTGTAGCAGTCCGTGTATGGTGATTGGTGGGCTCGGCAGCTCAAAGCAGTCGACCGCACGGCGATACTACCACACCACAGACCACAGAGCGACTGTTCCGACCGCTCAGGAACTGCTCGAGCGGTCCGTGTATTGCGGATATGAATTTAGTATGGAAACTGCAGATCGCCGTGCGGCGACCGCTCTAGGGCAGTCGTTCTCGGCTGCAACATGCGGTCCGTCTATGGCCAGCGTTAGGGTGAGATTTATGAAACAAGGCTTCCTGTAATTTTTTTATGTACGGGAGTCAGTCTTAGCACTAAGTACCAAGTTATGGAGAGTTTCATACACTTATCTTACTAACGTTGGCTTTGGCCGTACAAAAGTGATCGCGGCAGGTAGCGCTAGCGTGATGAAAACTGGTGAAGAAATCACAAACAATAGGTAACACGCTTTTTAGTGTTTATTTGCGTATACTTATTAGTGTTTACTTTAAAATTATATTACTTACATCGGACTCATATTTACATACATATTTAGAAAAAACAGCTTGGCCTGTTTAGTTTCGACTCTAGGGAATGTGTTTATCTAATTAATAAATGTTTGGGAAAAAGCGTAATTAGAAACCCAAGTGTCCGTCTCTCTCCATCATTAATAAAAAAGTGTACCTACTAGCTTTTTGCAGTTCTGCGACAAAGATTACAATGTTCTCAAGTGTTAGAAATACAAAAAACCTTCGAAGGATAAGTGTTCCTTATACCTAATATAGTCTAGACTCCAGGAAATGAGTATTATTAAAATATGGCGAGGGGGACCAAGGCTGCCATGCGTCATACTCGTGAAGGGGTGCTACTTGTGGTGACTGGTCGGACTTGAATTCGTATATGCGGTGTTATTTCGACTATGTATTTGCTTGTTGTTCCAACGAGAATGTAAGAGCGTGCTCCTATTTCACCATGGCTCCTGCTGATAGAGGACTAATCTTTGTTTTTAATTTATTTTATTATTATTAACTAACTATTAATTACTTAAGATGTCACGTGGAACATGGTGTAATGGTTGCAGCTCCTTACAAACATTGTGTAAAACAAAAAATTTGGCGATTAAAAAGAGTGGCGGAGAGTTTATTGCCAGTGCTTTTTTTCCGTTCTACCGTCTACGCCCTTGATTTGAGAACTGGCAGTAAATTTAAAATTAGAAGCATTTAATATGTATTTCTTTTTTACGTTCATAAGTGTACATTGTGTTACCTATATCAATAAATGATTTTGATTTGATTTATAATAAATAATTAATAAAAAAAGGTTGTCTAGTTCTTTTCAATCCCTACTACACTACTATCAAACTATAGAGATGTTGTTAAATATAAGAATTTTTGAAAAATCTTCAAAGCATAAAATGTGTTCTGTATATAAATAGTCTAGACTCTAGGAAATGCATTTAAAAATTAATAACTTTTGTGAAAAAAAGTAAAAAGTAACCCAAGTTGGCACTCTCCGTCATTAATAAAAAAAAGTACTAGCTCTTTACAGTCCCTGCTACAATTATAGAGGTACTACTTTAAAACTATAGCGACGATGTTTGGTCGTTTAAGTATAATTTCAGTACATACTAATATACTTAAGCATAAACTTAAACCCTGTATACATATTATAGCAATGATGTAAGCAACAATGACATATGGAAAGTGAAGTAAAATGTGATATTAACACGTTCACTGCGTAACAGGCCGATATCGGCCTGCCGCGGTATTTCAGCTGGTGCGGACGAAGAAATCTATGTCCCTCTCGCTGGTGCGTAACGATTATCTCAGGTGTTTGTAAAAATTCGACAGGGACAAATATATATTTCATCTTGCGGTCAAAATTGTAGGTGTTCCCCATCAAAACATAACGGCAGGCTTTTATCGACCTACCACGCACTGACGCTGCTGTGCATCCACTGAGAGTTAATCTATCCTAGTGCTGTTGGGTCTAGAAAGACCTGCCACGCACTGGCGGAAATATCATTGGGGGCGCATTTTGGCCCGCCGCCGCACCTGATGAAGAATTATGATTTTACTTGCCGCAGTGAACGTGTTAATGACATATATTGCAGCTTGATAAAGTGGCATGTAGAAACCTATTGACTCAACAGAGATGTTATTGGCTTATCCAAGAAATACATCTCTGTTGAGTCACCGATTTGATAAGGAGAAGTACCTACTCAATCCTATAATCACTTTCGGGCTCATGGTTGATGGAATTTTAATTTGAGATAAATAAAAGACGTTACGTGAACATGTAATAATTTTAACTATGACAAGTATAAAAGTTTTACCAATGCGAAACAAATATTATTGGAATAGAAGCCTAGACTACTGGGGCTATAAGCCGTGTCCTTTAAACCACTAAGCAACTATTATTAAATTATAGATAGTAAATATATGACTTTCATTTGGCGTTATCAAGTACTTTAGATAAAATAGACCGATTACTCTATTTTTTTAAGTAAGGGGTAAGGTTAAAAATTTCTTATAAAAGTTATTATTTGTCGTCACTAGGGTAGCTACTGATGATGTTTTTAATAATGTTCTCGTGCAAGGTGATCTCCACAGCTGACATACTGAATTATTATATCAATCATAGATAGTCATTTCGAATATCAGTTCCAGTTTCGTCTTGGATTCAAATCACGAAACGTGAGCGTGCATCGTGATTAAAAAGTTTTTCTTCATAAATTTTTCTTATATATAGATATGAAAGGATATTTATCTATTAAAATGCTTCAGTTTGAAAAGATTTCCCTAAAAAATATCACCTTGAAATGTCTGCCTCAGGCGACTGGATGACGGCTTTCTGTACATTATTATTAATTTTTTTTATATGGCTCTGGCACGGTTTGTGCATTAGCCAGCGTCAAGTATAAGATTTTTATAATTCGTGCTTGTCTTAGAAATTCGACCGTGTCCTCCATGTACGGTTTAAGCACTTGCCCGGTACCGCACAACCCTCCCTAAGGCCGAGAACAAATTTAAATTAAATTAAAACTTGCCATCGAACCGGGAATCGAACCCGGTACCCCTCACCTAGCTGCCACTTAATAAGACCGCTAGGCTATGAGGCCCCCAATGCATTATTTTTCTCTACTAATTTATAGCGTTACGTTTGTCTATGTCACCTTGACAGATTAGATTTTTTATATCAAGCCGTAAGACGTACTGAATTAGTTCATTGGCCCCGGATAAGGAATTGTTTATTGATGACTTATTCGCGACATGGCTGTTAATGTGATGAGTATTGTGTAATAGCGTTTAAGAGTTTGAATATAATGACAAAGCACAAGCAATTTTACCCCTTGAAGAGAAAACAAAAAGCTGAAATTTATGCAATATAAAATTTGTTTTAAAAACAATTAAAGTAATTTAAATCGATATTCAATTCTACTTATTATAATAGTGAATCAAGCGTAGATTTTTTAAAATGTAATTCTTTTATTATTCATGTTAAAAACAGTAACTTTTGAAGTAAATTTGAATCCTAAAAGTTATGTAAAGTATTATTTTGATACTTTTACGACCAATAATATTCATAGGTTTTCGGTAATTTACATGTATTGATAGTTTAGTATAAAATAAATGTTGTCCTTTAGTTTATGGAATACCCATCTCAGTTTTTACATTGATGTGTCATCTGTGAGAGTGAGTGTTTCATAGTGTATGCACGGATTAAAACGCACATAAAAACAACTCAACGCGTATTTTAGTTTTTAAGGGATTTATTTCACTATGTAACAGTATTCTATTTTTAACCGACAAAATGATGTTGAGATGTCTTGAAATACGTGCCTAGTTTAAAATAACTTACGACAAAGGCCATGAACCAACTCACAGGAAAAAGCTAGTAAGTGCAGACGCGTATGTCGCCACGTAGTGAAAAAAGCACTTACATCGTCATTGTTTTCGCAATGTTTACGGTTCATTGCGTGTTTTTGTTATGTAATTGCATGTGTATTGCATTATAAGCTGGGGTTGAGGTAAAATATACCTAAGAGTATTGATATGACATGGTAATTTTAAAGTCAGTTGAAAAGAGTTCAACGGGAGGTCGTCTGATTATTATTAGATAATTTATTTATTACAAAAGTCAATATCAATCTGTTTTATGTAAAAAATTAGTGGCTTATATAGACTATATTTTCCAAATAAGGCTGCTTATGTCTTTTAGCTCTCGTTTCTGCTATGTCTACTTAAATGAAGTCTGGGATAACAGCCTTGCGATTCTGTAACTCACTTTTCAACTCACACAGCAGTTTTCACAGCGGCGGTCGCGCTCAAATCAGTCGTAAAGCAGTCATTTTACGATTTGGCATTCTGATAAACAATAAACTACAAGCTCCCTCCTTATCAGAACGAACTGCGGAACTCATTCTAAAACTATTGCCATAATATAAAAAAAAATATAAAACTTATTCTAAGATTTTTCGTATTACAACTTTAAGTTGTGAAAATACATTCTATCATATTTTTCTTTATTTATTGAATATAAGCGATATTGCCATTATTATTTTAATTTAAATCAGTAACTTATTACGGATAAAATAATTCATATTAAAACGCTTTAGGTAATCTTAGATTT